TTATCTCTTGTGCGATAGGTATACATGCATTAGAGTGGAATGTATATTGAGACTTTAGGAACAACAGTTACTATTAGGTGATTTTTTTTTTTTTTTTTTTAAATCACTGTGTTTAAAGTGAAAGTCCTTCATCAGACGAGTTTCTGTTTGCTTCTGATATTTGCACTTACATGGAAAGAGAATGTCTGAGACTGAAGACTGCTGTTTCAGCTTGCTTATAAATATGTAACTTTTTCTTTTCCAATAGAGAGACTACAGAAGCCCGTGAAGTCACAAGAAAAACAGCTCCTCGTAACTCACTAGAGAGTGAAGAATATGTTAAAGACATTATAGGTTTATTGAATGGAAAAGACTTCCGTGATCGAATAAATGGCATTAAGCAGCTGTTATCAGATACAGAGAACAATCAAGGCTTTGTTGTTGCAAACATTGTGAAGGTAACTGTATGAAAACATTTTATTTCAAAGGTCTTTAAAGCTGCGTCACAGTCTTCTGATTAAAATCTTGGCTCCTTCTTTCAGTAAGAATGTCTGATTAACTGGAGAACATTGAGGAGTAGGTGAGGTGTGCTCGAAGGGGAGATACGTGTTACAAAGGTAGTAAAGGAACTAAATAGGAGGAAGAAGATGAAAGTTTTCACTTACAGATAGCACTCTTTGAACTATTTCTGGAATAATGTGTGCAGTTTTTCATGCCATTGCCAAGTAAATATCAAAATATTGGAACAGGTTACAAAAAGAGCAGCAAGGATTAATCAAGATCTGAAAAACTGTCTCTGAAACACAGCTGCAAGTTCTGCCTGATTTGTCTAGGAGAAGGTGAGGAAAGGTCTTTATTGTGATAAAGCTTAAGGTAAGTATCCTTTCTAGTAGGGAAGGAGGTTCTTTAGGAGAAAAATTATGATGAGATCCAACAGTTTTAAACTAAAGATAGATATATTGAAAGGGAAACCAAGATTGTGTTCTAACAGTGCCACGTCTTTACTGTGGAACTATGAAATACTTCTGTGGAACTTCACAGTATCGTAACTGTGAATGTTTCTGAAATCTTGAAAACATTCTTTTAGCTAAATAGAGCTGTGTCTCGCTAAAAATGCTTGCAGAAACCATTAGTCATACTGAAAGTTACAGATGGACAGTTTACCTCCAGTACATCGCATAGGAATGAATCAAATTCAGATGAGGTGAGATACAGTTGAGTAATACACAATATAAAAACATCAAATGTTGCTTGACTGGCTGAAAACAGTATCCCAGGTATTTGCATATCAGAGCCATCTTTTGCTAAGATGGGCAATAAAGGGTAACAATAAAGCAGGAAACGTAATACCCACCTCAAACATTAACTGTTAATTCTGATGAACGCTGTTTGGGTACTTTTTCAGATCTTCGATGCTTTCAAGGCTCGCTTACATGACTCAAACAGTAAAGTAAATCAGGTTGCTTTGGAGACAATGCACAAGATGATTCCATTGCTGAAAGACAATTTGTCACCTGTGATCAACATGTTGATTCCTGCCATGGTAGACAACAACCTGAACTCCAAAAATCCAGGGATTTATGCAGCTGCCACGAACGTCATTCAGGCTCTATGTCAACACTTAGGTAAGTAATTTACTCTCTCTTAATCTTAAAGACTTTTAAGTGTATTAATTAAATTCTAAATGTAAAGTGTTACCCTTTCCAATAGTTTGCATCCAATCATTACCTTGTGTAATGAATCGCTGGTTTTATTCTCACACTTTTTAAACCATACAAGTCATCTTACTGTTTTGCCAGTTGGATAAAGAAATACAGCTAGCTGCACTTGCTGTAAGCGCGCAGGTGGTTCCGCTGTTTTTCCGTAGCAGGTGCTCTTTGCTGTGAGGGTGACCGAGCGCTGGCACAGGCTGCCCAGGGTGGCTGGGGAGCCTCCATCCCTGGAGATACTCAGAAGCCGTCTGGACACGGTCCTGGGCCACGGGCTGCAGATGATCTCCCGAGGTCCCTGCCCCCCTCAGCCATCCTGTGTCGTTCTGTTTCGTTATCCAGAAGCTTGTCGCACTGCTGAATCTCTTAAACAGGTCCAAGGACTGGATTCTTGCTGGTGTGCATGTGCCACAAGTACTTTCCTTCCTCAACTATTTTAGCTTTGTTGTCATTAAATGAATAGTCTGTGTTCTATCAGGTTCTAGGAGTTAGGGCTTGTTTAGAGTATCTTTTTGTGCTTTTATGCCCTTAAATACATCCCTGTGATTAACTTCGAAGTTAATATATCACAAGCAAGGTTCTTACTTACATTTTTCCATATGGTGTTTATTTCCACACCATTTAATTTTCTGTTTAAGAATTTTAATGTGTTTTATTTCTTGCATTTAGACAACTATTTGCTCCTCCAGCCATTCTGCACAAAAGCCCAGTTTCTGAATGGAAAAGCAAAACAAGACATGACAGAAAAGCTTGCTGGTAAAATGATGTTTTACTTTGCGTGTTTGTTTGTGTACTGTCCTAATTAGGGAAAGTGATTGCAGGGTGGTGGTGGCTATGTATCCTCCCTTGTCACAGTAGATTGTGGACATTAATGACACAGCAGTTGTCAAATTGCACCCCTTTCTAATGCAAACTGAAGCTACTGCTGACAAAACAAAACATTATCTAGTCAGATGGAAGGTGTATAAATACCTGGAAGATGTAGAAATACCTTAACCTTGCAATAATTTTAATACGGAATCAGAGCGAATGAGTTTTGGTTTGTAGCGAGTTTCAGTCCCTCAGCAACTGAGTGGGACGTACGGTGTCGGGACGTCTTCACTTCTGCCTGCTTCACTTCTCACCTCACATTCCCTCTCACAGTTCTCATTCCCTCATACTCTTGCCGGGAAAAAAACAAAAGGAACGAGTGACTGTTTTTTCTGAAGTTTCTCAGCACAGAAAATACACTGTTCTCCAAGGCTGGCTCCTACTAGCTCCTCATTTTTACTTCTGTACCTTTTTGTTTTTCACACGAGGTCTTGTTCTCATTTTAAGGCTCTTGAAAATACATACTGGCGTTCAGTCATAAAGGAGACAAGGTGGCAAGCTGAGCTGCACTCACCGCAAAGATGGCAGACTTCATCAGGGTCTTCTTCCTAAACCGGTGTCAAAAGCTTAAAGACAAATTTGCTTAAAAATTGAAGACAAATTTTAACTAGAATTTATATACATGTTTTAATATTGGGATCATTACTAGAAGTGCTGAATTTCCCTTTGACGTTTTAAGTGAACAAGGGATGTCTTTATGGGAAATACGCTTGAACCGAACAGACGTTATTTGGCTTACTTTCGGAGCAGTTCTGTGTGTAGCAGCTATGAAATTGAACTGAGTAACATAATGGACAGTCTGTTCTTGAAATATCCCTAAATTTATGCTTTCTGAATGTGCTAGTCACAAATGTTTAAACAGTTCATCTCTTGCTGGGATTTTCTGGAGTAGTTTGTATTATATATCAGAAGAGTCCATTCTAGCAAAAAGGCAAACATTTGCAAATGAAATACTTAATTCATGAGGTAATTGTCAAAGTAAGGAAAATGCTTCATCTTATAAGTATTTATAGTATAAGGCTACTTTGTTCCTTAAATACCTACTGTGTATTTCTGAGATAGAGGGGGAAATCATAAAATATCAAATGTTACACAGTACACTGTAAGGAATAAAGGTCCTTGTGATAATCATAACTAAAAAAAAAAAAAAAAAACAACAAACCAAAACAAACCAAAACAACCAACCAAAAAACCCTCTAGGTTCTTTTACTTGTTTTAATTTCATGGGAAGTTGTAATTATCACCCGTACCAGTGCTACTGCGTAAACTCCTGGGAGAGGCTAAAAGGGGTGTTTGTAGGGAAAGCTGGTATTTTTTTATCAGAGTGGTGATGCTGTTGCAACAACAGACGGGCTCTTGTGTATAGCGAGCACTCCTTTGTTAGTCGCTGTGAGAGGATGATTTGACATCAAGAGCTTTTAAACACCTCTCAAAACAGGGGATCGCTTCTCAACTGCATTTGACAAAGTCTTCCAACACTGCTCCATGACCTGTTGTTTTTATTGCAGATCTTGTCACGGAGTTATACCCACGGAAGCCTTACGCTGTGGAGCAAAAAGTTCTAGCTGTCCTTTGGCACCTCCTGGGCAACATGACGAACAGCGGCTCTGTGCCTGGAGCCGGGGGAAACATCCGGGCAGCCGCAGCCAAACTCTCAAAAGCACTTTTTGCACAGATGGGCCCGAGCCTGTTCACTCACGCCGCATCTCAGCCACCGCGCGTCCGGAAGATTTTAGAAGAGTTTTTGGAGATCGCAAGCTAAAAATCAAGGCGGTCGGGGTTGCGCGTGGAAGTCCCGTCAGCCGCCCGACGCGGGGGGGGGGGGGGGGCAGCTGTTGGCAGGGGACAAACGCGCTTCTGACTTGTTTTAGCACCGAAATTTACTCTGATCGGCGGAGGAAAACCCTGGAGGCGATCGTACGCCTCCAACAGGGTTTGGCGCGGTATTTGTGAAAAACACATCTTTTTAACCCACGCTTGCGCAGTGTTAGCTCCCTGGGGCTGCTGTCGCGGTGCCCTCAGGGTTTGCTTGGTGGCCGGGCACGCTCCCCTGCGGGGGGGGGGGGGGGGACACAGACAGTTCCGGCAGCTCCCGGCGAAGCGCAGCGGCCCGCTCGGCGGGAAACAGACCCGTTTTTTTTTTCCTTTTTTTCGTTTCCCCTTCCTTCTCCCCTGGCAGCGCCGGCACTCGCCCCCTCCGCCCCGTCCCTCCCGCTGCCGGTACTGTACGCGTTTGACACGGGAACCTGACGCGAATAAACGGATTTATTTCTGTAACGCCGCGGCCGCTGCCTTTTTTTCCGGAGGGGGGGGGGAAGAAGGGGGAAGGCGCCGCCATTTTGTGTGTGGGGAGGGGGAGCGGCCCAGGCGCATGCGCGGAGGGGGGGTGGGCGCGGTGGTAGCTCGGCGCGCAGGCGCGGTGCCCGGTGCGCATGCGTGGCGGTGTGCGCGCAGGCGCGGTGCGCGCTTGCTGAGGCCCCCGGCGGCTGCAGGCGCGCGGCGGTCGGGCAGTTCCGCGGCCCCGCGGCAGGTACTGGCGGGGGGTGGCGGGGGACACGCGGGATTTCCGCGGGATTTCCGCGGGGCGCGGGAGCGGCCGCGGCTCTGGGCGCGGCCATGAGGGGTGCGCGCATCGCCCCGGGGGAACGCGGGGCCGGGGCCGCGACCGGGGCCTGTGCTGGCGGGAGGCTGAGGCGAGCGGGGGTGGGGGGGATGCGGGAGCCGCGGCGGCTTCTTCCGTTACGGTTTATTCCCTTTTTTACGCTATTTTGGCCACCGAAGCGGCGAAGGGGCCGGGCCGGTACCGCCTGTGCTGCCCCGGAAAGTTTCAGCAGGTGGTTCCCAGGGTCGTGACAGCCCGTTGGCAGGGCAGGGGAGGCTGGAAGATGGGCCTCCAAATTCCCGCCTGCTGCTTGTGGTTTTTTTCCTTGAGGTTTCCCATTAGTTCGTTCATATTTATAAATGCCGGTATTGCGTGCGATAGACGTTTAATTGAAGCAGGCTCAACAGTATATGTTAACGTAAATCATTTAAAGCTGGTGCATGTAGTTATGTGATATGTAGGTTTTTTTTTTTTTAGCTTGAGTGATGTGAAAACTCCTAGAATTAAGTTGCTCAGTTCCGTGGTTGTTGCAGATGCACATTAGCTCCGTGCCTGCTGCCCTCGTAGCTCCGAGGGGTGTTTGTGGGGCACCGGGCAGGGCGGGGGGCATTGCCTGTGACCCCCATGTACGGGGGGAGTCCGAGGTGTCCCTCGGTTCCCTGGGGGAGTCTGCAGCGCCTTCAGCTGGAAGTGAACTGGCAAACAGACTTCTCGTTTCTGTTGGAAAACTTTGTGCAGAGGTCGTCCAGCTCTGCTTCTCCCTCTTTCTTCCCCGCCCCTAATTTGAAAGATAGCTAGTTTTGGGGGGAGTTGTTTTTTTAAGCGGGAATCCATCTTCTGAACCAGCTAGAGGGGGGAAAAAAGTCTCCCAAATATCAGAATAAGTGTAGGTCATAAATTATTGTATGTTTAAAAACAATTGTATTACTTTTCCCAAATATTAGAGCTGTAAACATCCACTAAACTATTTTTTTTCAAGTGTTGGGGTTGCCGTTTGCGTAACACACTCCTCTGATGCCTTGAGTTTATAACCTTTACAGAGGTAAGCACTGGATGGTAGCAGCTGGTTTTAATGAGGCAGATCTCTTCTGTATGTCTCGCTGGTAAAGGCATAGTGATACTGCTTTGGTATTTAATTTCTTAACGTAGAAATGATCTTTATTCTCAAAACCAGTATTGAAGACACATCTCTAAGACTCGCTAAAGAAACCGCCTTTTGCTGCAGGCTTTCTGGAGGCGCCCAGCACGTCAGGAAGAACCAGTCATTAACAAATTAAACTGCTCATCTTACACAAGCGTCCTCTTTTCCTGTAGAACAAAAGCACTATAGTGCTCTATGCAGTCACATCATGTTTGTGTGAGTTTTAAATGGCATGAACTGTTAGTTTTTATTGAAAAAGAATTATGAACTGTTTACCTTAAAGGAAAGACGTTGTGTCTGTATGATTGCCAGGTGATGTATACAATGGAGCATAGAAATAATTATTTTAAAAAACAGTTATTAGAGAGCTTGCAGAGTAGACCACGTGGACCTTTTAACGCTACGCCCAAGGTACTTGGCTTGGTGAACTCCTAGGAAAATGTGAACTGTTATCTCATGCATCGATGCTGCTGAGGAGAGGATACAGGTTATTTTCCTTTCTGTTGAGAATTATTCCCCCACTATGTTATTCATGGCTTATTGGCGTATGTGTTGAAGTGAAAATCAAGTGGTCTGTTGGTTCTCTTTTCAGGTTTTCAGTGGGAAAGAATTCTGGAGACAGAGGGTGGGGACTGTTTTTTTTTAAATGTCAAACTCACTTGCTGTCATCCTCTCTGAGGAGAACCAAAGGGAAATGGGAGTGGCAGTTGTTACCATTCACTTGAGGGTGATGGTCTCACACTTCTTCATCCAGATTACATTCCCAGCTAAGAGCTATTGTTTTACCTACAGTCTGTTAGTCGTTAGGATCTGGCCTGGGTGGGGGAAGGTTCAGCTGGGTGCCTTACGCCCAGGCTCCAGGCGGTGAGGGGCAGGGATCAGCTGAGCACCGTTTGCAGGGCTGCTGGGGTAGGCTGGCCTGGCCTTGGCTGAGGAGGGTAGGGCAGGGCTGGGAGCAGCATTTGGCAGGAAGATCAAATGGAGAGTGGGAGGGAGATGGAGCTTGTGCTGAGGGGCAGGAGGAAGCACCTGACGTGCGAGCTGTGTGTGGCAGCGGGCGACTCTGTGTGAGGGGCTAGCCTAAACGTTCTCTGTGGCCCTCTGGTGCTGGTTAGTTTATATGGACAGCATTAATATGGACTGAGTCTAGTGCTGATAGTAATTCTCTTTGCAAAGTAATCGCTTAAGCCAGTTCAGCTAGGTGTTGAGGGTACATTTGAACGTATATTTGTTTTGCGAAGAAGTTACTAAGTAGTAGCATTGAATAAATTTGAACGTAATTCTTTATTTGAAATAGACCTGCTAGACTTGAACAGGAAGCCTGCATTGGTTACCTTTTATACCTTGATAGGTTTTTTTTGAAAAGCCACCATGTTTTTTACGTGCAGATGTTAAAATGCATGACTCATATTAACATGTTTTTAATTGCAGTATGGCTCATGCATGAAGCAGATTTAATTGGTGAGGGTTTGTGGTGAAATACATGGATGCCTGAAGCACTTGGGAGACTCTTAGCTGATAATTCACACCCAAGTTCTACTTGAATCTTCACTGCATGAATACAGAATCTTTTAATTTCCACAGGATCTAGCACAACAAACCAGCACTAAGCTCAGCCATGGAGAACGCGGATAATACAGAGGAGGAGAAGCCGACTATAAGCAACGACAGCACAGACAATGGCACTGAAACAGCAACAGAAGAACAGAGTATGGACTTCAGTACGGAAATTATGAGTGTAACTGAGATGGAACAATCACCTGATAGTTCCCCCGACTTGAATGAAGAGAACACACAGGAGAGTGAAATTCCAAATATTGAGAGTTTACAGACAACAGATATTGAAGCTTGCTTCCCTCCAGATTTTGAAAAGTTCTGGAAAGTAGTAGAGGACAATCCCCAGGATTTCACAGGATGGGTATATCTACTACAGTATGTAGAGCAGGAGGTTAGTACATGGCCCCTTTTTCCTTAGCCTTCCAGGCATAAACAAAGAAAACAAGTCATGGATGGTCCAGGGACAAACCTAGAACTGTACATCAGGCTTCCATGGATACTGGTTTAAGACAGTTGCCCTTGCTAGTGTCGTCATCAGAGATCACAAAATAAAAAGGACCGTTTTTAAGACAATGTTAAAACAATAACTGTTTTTAAAATAATGTGAAGGGCTTTTTTAAGGAAGAGATTCATTGCTTTTATCATGTATTTCTTGCAGAACCACTTACCAGCTGCCAGGAAAGCATTTGACAGGTTTTTCACACATTATCCATATTGCTATGGATATTGGAAAAAGTACGCAGACCTTGAAAAGCGACATGACAACGTTAAACAGTCTGATGAGGTATGTAGGTAGCTGGGCACAGCTATTGCCGTTGGTCCTGTTGGCCAAATAATGACTAACCTACTGCAAGTCATTTGGCTGCCAGTACCTGCCATGTATGGTCAGGTTTGTAGGGATTTTGTTTGCACTTGTCACGTCTGTGGCATTTGTAGCTAATGTTTTTTCTCTTTGTTGGCAGGTGCGTTAAACCTCTACAGTTTGTCAAGCTTTGCAGTGCAAGCCTCTGTATTACACTGCAGCTTAACAAGTAGGGCAGGGCTTTTCTGTCACTTACATTTATTACTCATTTTCAAAACAATATAGTTGGTTTGCTGGTCACAATTGCTACATCTTATTGCATTTTTGGTCAGACGCTGTCAATGATGCTCTAATGGGTCTGTGCCCTATGGTCTGTACCCCAAAGCCTGCCCACACAACCTGGTCAGAATGCAGGGACCGCTGCGCTTTGAAGATCAAGACTCTGCACGTGGAGATCAGAACATTGCCATGTTCTATCCAACCTCCACCCAAATGGTAATGGTAGATTATTTAAACAAAATTCCAGTAATTAGTATTTCTAAGGTTCACCGGATAACACAGTGTTGCCTCTCTATTAGGACGCCATTAAGTATTTGAAGTACAGTTCATGTTCTCTTCATAGGTTTATCGCAGAGGGCTGCAGGCAATTCCTCTTAGTGTTGATCTTTGGATACACTATATAAACTTCTTAAAGGAGACCTTGGACCCTGCTGATCCTGAAACTAACAGTACTATTCGAGGGTAAGTTGAAAGCAGACTGAGTGATACAAGAAGCCCCTGCATGCAGTCACAGAGCAGTGTGATCAGATTAATATGTTTAAGCTAAGGGGCAGGCTAATAACAGCCTGCAGTTACTTTAAGGACTTCTAAGAGACGATGGAGCCAAATTCCATAAGAAAGGGTAGATGATACAGTGGGGTACAAGGGCCAAAAGCTGTGACTTGAGCGCTTCAGACTCGACGTTAGGAAATACTTAGTGCAGCACTGGAACAAGTTCCCCATAGAATTTTTGGAACTTAATTCCTTGTAGGTTTTCAAGGTATGACTAGAACTTGTCCTCATCTGTTGCTGTCAGTGGTCCTGCTTGGAGTAAGAGGTTGGACGAAAGCTTGATCCAAAACCTTAGTTGAACTTTAACTGAAGCAGCTTCTAGCTGCATCACTGATATATAGCTCTTGGGTGTTAAACTGTTAAAGTAATGGGTTTAGAATCTTTACAAAATAGAAGCAGTAAAGACTGTGTTTTCCTAAGTTCTTGCATTCCTGCAAGTGGCCTTTTCTGTTGCCTTTATTTGTTCTGTTGTGGTAGTGCTGGAGGAAAAAGAAGTGAGTGCGAACTTTCTGGAGGTCTTGCTACAGATACCTAGAAAATACTCTGAAGAATTTGAATAATGAATAGAGGTGTGGTTTCAAGTAAATGAAGATGCTCTCAATCTTTAAATAAGACCCAGAACTTTTCTTCCTTGTTCTGTCACCGCACCCAGAAACAACTGTGAAATTATTTTGTTTTTCAGAGCCTATGAACATGCAGTGTTAGCTGCTGGGACAGACTTCCGTTCTGACAGACTGTGGGAAATGTATATAAACTGGGAAAATGAACAGGGAAACCTAAGAGAAGTTACATCCATCTATGACCGCATCCTTGGAATTCCAACACAGCTCTACAGTCATCACTTCCAGAGGTAAAGCGAAAACAAAGATTAGTTAGTGATAGGAATTTCTTAAGTGCATGTTACCCTACTTCTGTAAATGTGGAAATACTCACTCAGAACAAGAACTTGAAATAGTTACTTAGTTTTATGTACTTATTTACTTATTTATGTACTCATACAGTTCGACTGGTTACTTTAAAGTACTGGTACACGTTTTAGGAATTTGGTTTTAGATCAATTCACAGATTCTGCTGTGGAATAAAGGAAGGCCTTGGAATTATGAGAATGGAAGATGTGTTTGAGAAATGAAAGAGAGCGGTTTTGATCTTCCTCATGTAATGCTCACGTTTGGTGAAACACTATTTAATTGACTAAAAATAAATACTTGGTTAAATTTTAGATAGTAGAATTCTGCATTAATATGGAGAGGTTAAGAGGGAACCAGAAACCTCCTGTGTCTTTTGCGTAATTTCTACAGATCCTTTGGGTTTAGAAATGAAGTATCTTCCTCTAAAACTGCTCTTGTCCCTTGCCATCAATTTTACGTGGCAGGTGGTCTGTCTTTGTCACTGAAGTTCATCATCCTTTAATTTCTCTTTGAAATCTGAAGCTTTTGAGGACTGATAGATAGCAGGAGTGGCATTTTGTGTGCATGTTGTCAGGATTTGCATTCTCAGTGTTGCTCTAGGCTGATAAAGTAATGCAGAACCCCGCTAGGATTTATTATTTTGCTCTGGCTGGGCAGAGAACTGCAACACGAAACATCAGATTTGTGTTGACTCGTTTCTAACTATTCTCAGGTTTAAAGAACATATACAGAACAACTTGCCTCGAGACCTGCTGACCACCGAGCAGTTTGTTCAGCTACGCAGAGAACTAGCGTCGGTGAACGGCCATAGCGGGGAGGATGCACAACCTGGAGATGACCTGCCCTCTGGTACCGAAGACATAACCGACCCTGCCAAGGTACGTACGCCGAGGATGTTCCTCGGCAGCTCCTGCCTTGCTCTGTGCCTCAAAGCTGAGTTTTTCTGCAGACGATTCAGTGTATCTGTAGCTGAGGTGCTCCCGTAGTTCTCCTGCACACCGTTGCTCTTTGGCTCCTGGGATAACTGCTTCTGGCTACAGGGCATACCTTCCCAGTGTTTTCATAGGTATTAAAGAAATTGAGTTAAAAAATTAAAGAAATAACGTACAGAATTTTAGGGATGAGTGTTAATTATTCCAGATTAACAGATTAGGAACCGTGGCCTGGGCAAGCTCTTCATCAGCAATGGTGTCTGCAGGTTCACAGCCTTGGGAGGCATATCAAGACTCAGAGCCGTCCAGAGGAATGGCTGACTGTGAAAATGTACACATACTGAAACCCCGTTTGACTTGGATCCAAATTCATCTTTAATTTCAATCATCTTTAGCATAAGAGCAAAACTTCAGATAGAAAGCCAGTTCAATTGGGTTGCACTGAGGGCCAGGGCACCATCGGGGTAGTATCCCATCCCTTCCCCTGGCTCTTCAGGGTAACGTTGAATGTATCTGTCAGGCTTTTAATTTATGCATGTTACATTCATCATAAAATGCATTTGCACAGGTGATACCACGTCTATCTCTGTTACATTTTTTTAAATTGTGTTTTAGCTAATCACTGAGATAGAGAACATGAGGCACAGAATCATTGAGATTCATCAAGAAATGTTTAACCACAATGAACATGAAGTCAGTAAAAGGTGGACATTTGAAGAAGCGGTAAGTTTGTTTTTTCTATCTAAGGCAGCATGTGCAAGAGTTTTGAACATGAGACGAGGAGTTTTGAGTAACACGCCTTACAATTTAAACTGTTGCGGGGCTTTGAACGAAGGTAGAGTTTCACTTCTCTGCACAAAGTCAACTTGTGAGGTCAACTCCATCACCTGACAATTTAAAACTCTTTAAGCAGTATTTGGAGAGCGGCAAGATGGTGTATTGTTTACTAAGCAGTCTTTAAATACGCGTGCGTGAAATCCTGTGGAAGTTAGTACTGCCTTCTGCACCTGGGGTGTTGCAAAATAACAGAGGGATGAAGGTAATTCTAATTGGAAAGGTAAGCCTATCCTAGAACCTGGGAACGTCGTACGTAGCCAGCCCTGGGGCTGTAAGCAGAAGAGCACAGGCTCACCGGGGAGGGTTTCCCTCCCAGTGCCGCAGCAGCCTGCCGTGCTGTTCCCAGCCCTGCGTGTCGCAGGGTCGCTTTTGTGCCAGCGGCCTGGCACAGGAGGAAGCAGAGTGGGCAAAGCCTGTCCCTGGAGGAGGTGGGGCTCAACTGTGCAGATGTAGTGCGGAATGGTTAGGTGAGTACAGGTGTTCTTGGCTCGGGAAACTTTACGCTACAAATTACTGACACTTGGGAGAATGGTAAAACACTGGATGGACACGCTGGAGAAGGTGTGTAAGGAACGGGCTGTCCTCTCCTGTTCCTGGCCAGAGCCCCTGCCTTTTCTACCAAGAGAGTGTATCTGCTCTGTAGGTACCACCTTGCTGGATATATGAAGTGTTTGAAGTGTAACGTTAAATGAGTCTGTATAACAGACAGAAATGAGGTAGATGGGCAACAGATGTCACGGAAGTGATGGAGACCGCTTAGACCTGGTTTATTTTAGCAGGAACAACGTACCTGGGAGTTTGTCAAAATGGAAAAAGCGTGTTGGGTTCCATAGTAGAGTTCAGTGAGGAGCATGAAGCGGGCGATTGGCTTTTATTTCCGGTGGCCTTAAAGAATTGAATGTTACTCCTTAATTACTGTAAGCTCTCCATCCATTTGTATGGATGTCTCTGAGATGGAATTGCAGTACAGGAGAGATAATCAGGTAAAATTCAAGATCTGGAGAGGAAAAGCAAAAGGTCTCTGGAGAAGGATGCTTTGCTGCGTTCAGGTCAAAGCAGTGTTGAAATTTTCAGTGCTGAACTCTGTCCCACTCATCTCCTCTTGTAGTCATCAGTAAAAATGCAATCTTGCTAGCTCTTGGAATAATCAGCTTAATGTAAACATTTATTATGAAGTTCAATTCGATGCTCTGTCTTTCCTTGCCGTGATTCTCAACCAAATTTTGAATTTAATTTGTAGGGCATGCGCTAGTACAACAGTAAGTGCTTCAGTTGGCTGGGTGTATGTATGTGGACAATATCCAGTGTTGTTCATAATGTGATTGTTACGTTGTGACTGCAGGTTTGCAAGGGCGTAGCCACACTGAGTTCTTTCTCAGCTTCTGTGAACACTTTCACTCACAATTTTCTAGAAAAACTAGCCTAGAGTGTAAGTGTCAGCAGCATCTCTTAATCAATACTTGGGGAACCCCCACCAGACTCAGCTGAGTGTATAGTGACGTATGGTTCTGAAGTCCAGTTTATTTAAATGGCATTACTTGACTGGTGTCTGGCTGTTTGTTGTTTTTTGGGGGTTTTTAAGCAACTTTGGTGGTATGTTTATTAGTCTTAAGTTGCCATACTATGACTCTTGCAGATAAAGAGGCCTTACTTTCACGTAAAACCTCTGGAGAAAATTCAGCTGAAAAACTGGAAAGAGTACTTAGAATTTGAAATAGAGAATGGCACTCATGAACGAGTTGTGGTCCTCTTTGAGAGATGTGTCATTTCATGTGCCCTCTATGAGGACTTCTGGATTAAGGTAAGGGAAGTGGTTTACCACCTATCTCCTACCGATTGCATACATTGATCTAGTGACTAACCTTTTGTACTCTGTGGAATGTTGTTCATATATAACTATATCTGTTGCATTAGGAGATGGTCTGCTTGCAACCAGATTTGACTGCTGCATATGCCAACTTCGTTGCCTCTCTACGTCCTTCCTTACAGAAACTAGTCTAGTGGTTCAATAAAGGTGCTGAATGGGTTTAAACAAAAGAATTTTATCGTTCTGTCATGTTTTAAACGACAACTACAAGCTTTAAATTTTTCAATCTCTGCTCTGTTTTCAACTATAGTATGCCAAATACATGGAGAATCATAGTATTGAAGGAGTGAGGCATGTCTACAGCAGGGCTTGCACAATACATCTTCCTAAGAAACCAATGGTCCACATGCTGTGGGCTGCCTTTGAGGAGCAGCAGGGTAAGAGCAACGTTCGTTTTTGCTGGGCGGGATTCTGGTTTTAAGAGGCTGTTGGATGTCTCGTATCCTAAAGCATCTTCACCGGTGTTTTAGGCAACATCGATGAAGCAAGAAGAATCTTGAAAACATTTGAAGAGTGTATTCTAGGGCTAGCAATGATTCGCTTGCGAAGAGTGAGCTTAGAACGCAGACATGGGAACATGGAAGAAGCTGAACACCTGCTTGAAGATGCTGTTAGGAATGCCAAATCAATTAGTGAATCGTCGTTTTACGCCATCAAATTAGCTCGACACCTCTTCAAAGTACAGAAAAACCTTCCAAAGGCAAGAAAAGTGCTGTCAGAAGCCATAGAAATTGACAAAGTATGTGTTCCCTCTTTGCTGTATTAAAAAAAAACTCCTGGTATTTTTCTGCACCATTTTTTAAAAACTACGGCAGCAATGATGACAAGACTTGTAGCTGTATGTAATGTCTCATTACTGCATGGAGACACCAGTCCCTCTAAACTGATGTTGCCGTGCTTACAGCTTGCAAAGCTGGAAGTTTGCATTTTTTTTTTTTTTTTTTCATCAGAATCACAATGTGCTTCATACTGTCATTTTTCCTTTTTAGAATCTGAAATGTTACAGGTGCGTTCACATCTCAAGGTGAACAAAACTGATCCCGTAGGCAGTACTTGGATGGTTTTGTGTAACCACAGAAATACTTAGCGCTCCCAATACTGTTAGCAAAGCGTGACCTCTGTTGTCATGGTGTTAGATCACTTCTAATCTATCAGTGAAACAAGCCAGTTCAGAGACGACCCGTGTGAAAAGAAAATCTTTGTATTGACTATCCTAATGCATATTTATGATGTTAACGTTCTGGTATGCATCTGGTAGATATACATTCAGCATTAAATACCTAACATGACAGATACACAACTTCTAATGCGTCTTTTGCACAGGAAAATACGAAACTGTATCTCAACTTACTTGAAATGGAATACAGTGGTGACCTCAAGCAAAATGAAGAAAACATCTTGAGCTGTTTTGATAAAGCTGTCAATGGCGCATTGTCTATAAAAATGAGGATTACATTTTCTCAGCGAAAAGTGGAATTTCTTGAAGATTTTGGTTCTGATGTAAACAAGTAAGATAATCTGTGCAGGGGCCAAACTAGGGTCACCAAAAGTGCTGGGCGAAGCAGTAGGGAAGGGGTGGGGTTAGTGGCATCCATTCAGTTTTCTTGTGTGCCATCAGTTCTCTGTGGAGGGATAGCTGCTTTTCTAAACCAAATTCCTATTTTTAAATAGGACTATCTTTTCAGAAAATTACCCCTTTTTTTCTCTGAAATACCTAATGCCTCATAGAGCAGAACTATGCTGCCCATAACTTCTTAATGCAGTTTCCCCCTGGTAAGGCTCACGAAGGAGGATGCTCCTCGGAGAGCCTGCAGTGATTTGTGGCACGGGTAGAACAGGATCCTCCCTACCCTGTGAGCGGCTGCTCGAGGTTTCCAAAACTGCAGTGATTTGATTTTAATATGTTTAGAAGCGTTAATGGTGCTGTACACTTACGTGGGAGGATCAGATAATAGAAGTACAACCTTATTAGAGACACATTTTTCCTCTTAGTTCTCTGTTGTGAAACAAGCTCTTGTTTTTATTTACATTTGCAGCTAATTAACTTGGAAGGACTAACCGTGAGTTAGTTTTTCCGCTTTGTGTGCTGTTTAACAATAGCTGTCCTTAATTTCTGCTGACTGACCATTCTGACTTGCGTGGCAGCCAAGCACTGCAGGTTTGGGATGCTACACAGACCAAACAAAATGAAATTCTCAGTTCCCAAGTAATACTAGAGCACAGAATGAAGTACAAGAAGTGGTTTTCACCAAGAGAAGTATTGACAGAAGCAGCAGTTTTCATGTGATACCTTGGAAACTGTGGTATGCAGCAGATGAAATACTATATAGCTATTTGTAGAAATTTTAGCTGGGATTCTTGTGCTGCATTAAATTCACTTGTCCTCCCCACGTTATTTGGGAAAAGGCTGTAGGTGCTACTTTAGAATTCTTATAATTTCATATAATGCTCATTTCCAGTATCTAAAATGTTGAATCCTAAATATCAGTGCTGCTGTGGATGGCATCAGCAGGCAGCTGAGGGAATGCAATCACTGTGAGAAGCAGCTGTATCAAAAAAATTTTAGGAAAGTTCTTTATAAAGGAACTTTATAGAAGAACTGTCTGAAGTGTGATTAAAAGTTGAGCAAGTTGGCAGTTCCTGAGCTACCAAAGTTTTTCGCTGTGCGTTGTGGAATCAGATTAAGTTTTTTGGCTTTCCCATCTTCACTGTGGATCACAGACTAAAATTTTACTATGATTGAGTTTGTTTTAGAATGTTTTTGTATTTTTACAGTTTGAAGTAGACATTTTAAAATGGTTGTTCGAGTATTTAAAATGTTTACATGAAAAAGGTGAGCAAACCTTTATTTCTTTTTGTCTCCTTCAGGCTTCTGGATGCTTACGATGAACACCAAGCGCTTCTAAAGGAGCAGGATTCTTTAAAAAGGAGAGCAGAGAACGGGTAGGAAGTGTTCACCTGAGGGTATGAACTGACTCGGGAGGTGAGGCAGCGTGGGGTAGCAGGAGCACACACTGAGCTGAACTATAGCTCATACAAGGCACTGTGGAAAGGCTTTAAAAATAGTTCAGAGAACCATCTCGGAGACTGTTGGGTTGTGGTTTTTTCTTTAATCTATGAATATATATATAGAGAGAGATATTTTTCAGCTTTAAACCTACTGCTTGCAAGAACAGCATCACTAGTTTTTAATCACTTGAAGTATAAACTAAAGAGGGCTATGCTGTTGGCTAAGGTATTTGGAAAGAGATTTATTGGAAAGTAACTTTTTAAACTGTGCATCACAGAAAACTGAACAGTACTGGTGCTCCGAGCAGAGACACGCTTTTGCTGTCTCAGTTTGGGCACCAGCACAATTTAAAAACCAGACTGTTGTTCTGAAGCACAGTGTGCTGCTGCCTTTCTCTAAATCAAATTCTGTCGCCCTGTTTGGACAGGGCACTAAGATGGACAGTACTACTTACCCTTCCCTGTTACATTTCCCACAGGAAGACGTGCTCGGAATTTAAGATGCCATTTACAAGCATATATTCACTTTGCAGATCAGAGGAGCCAGATGAAAAGAAAATGCTGACAGATGACCCGACTTTGGCATCAGCACAGATGATGGATGGGGACATGCAAGTCAACCAGGCAGCGTATAACTACAACGCCTGGTACCAGGTGGGTCCCTGCGCTCTGCGCGCGGGCGGCTTCCCCGCGACGTTCCGCCCTCTGCAGCCCCGGGGGGGGGGGGGGGAAAGCCTGGAGGAAACCTTGAGCTCCCGTTCTTGTTGGTTCCTCTCTGGCCCGTTCCGTGAGCGTAGATTTCTCCAGCGTGGGCCGAGATGTGCGGGTGGGTGGGTAGCTCCCCACCTGAAGGGCAGTGTGACGCCGCTGGCTACGGGCAGCCGGCCTGAGATGTTTTCCCAGGAGCCTCGCCTTGCGCCGCCGGTTCCCCGCGTGCTTTGGTAGTCGCTTTCCCTCACTAGTTGCTGTAACGTCCCGGCGTAGATTCTGCTGCCCTGGTGCACCCCGCGTGCCAGATCAGCCTGCTCAGTAGCTCGTCTTCGGGGTTGCTCTCGCACGGCCTTCCGTTTTGTCCCTGTTAGGGCGAGTCAGTAAGGCCGTGCCCTGGTTTCCTCCTCCTGCTTGTGGCAGCCACCTCCTGCACACGCTCTGCTTCCCGGGTTTGTGTTCGGAGCTGGCTGTAACCACCTGCCTTTCTGTGGGAGGTGGAGACTGGTAAAGGTGGGTGTGCTGGTGCTGCCCCCTCAGCTGGGGGGGGGGGGTGGGTGGGTGGGTTTCAGGCACTGTTCTTCAGGGCTGGGAGGGGCAGAGGCTCCAGCTGAAGCAGTTTAAGGCCAACTGCTGTTCAGGGGGGTGAGGGGCCTGGCGGGCCCCAGGGCGCTGTTCGCAGACAGGACCCAAACCGAGCCGCTCTGGAACTGGTTTGGAATTGCCCACACCAAGGTCGAGTGCTCTTTGCAAAGCCTGGCAGTGAAAGGTGTTCTCACCCAGCGAGGGGGGGGAAACTCAGCACTAAAGCAGGAAAAACACCCCGAGTTTTCGAAGGGCGAAGGGTGGGAAGCGCAGGTGGGGCCGTGCTGGTGCCACCCGCTGTCCCGCGTCAGCGGGGCGGTCGCGCTTGCCTGACCCTCTCGTCTGGTTTTTTTTTTTTCTAGTACAATTACCAGAACGCGTGGAATTACGGACAGTATTATCATCCAACTTGATCCGAAGAGTGAGCGAAGTTCACTGTGCTGCAGTTTCAACAAAGATGGAATTAAAAAAAAAAAAAAATATATTTTTCTAAATTAGGGATGTGAAAGAACTGTTGTAATACCTGCTTTTTTGGTCTTTTGCATGTGAAATGAGCTGATGTTCACAGGGTATGTGTGAAGCAAGATTTGTGTGCTGGTAACTGATAAATGGTATCTCTGTACAATTCTAGTTTACCATAAATGCATTTTTTTTTTTTTTTATTCCCTGCACTAATTTATGGAGATATCTGAAGACTTTTTTTTTTCAGTGTCACGATTCCATAGATCCAATCAATAAGGCTGTAGGGGGTCTTGAGGGGGGGTGTGTTGTTTTTTTTTATCCCCCCAAAGCTGCCACAGGGAGGGAGGACGCTGTTTCCCCCCCCCACCCCTGAAGCCTTTTGTTTGTCGTCATGATCAGAACTCTTCAGATTACCAGGGCAGCCTTTGCAAGCTGCCACACGGATTTTCTACTCTAGGTGGGGGGTCAAAAATTAAAATGCAGTGCAAAATGATGTTGCGTTCTTTTTTAAAAAGCACAAACTGTGTTTGGGATGATTTTTGTATTTAGAGTTTTTCATGTACACAGTGTGAGCAAACTTTTTTCATTTTGATCAAAGTGATCATTCCCATTTTTTATAATAAAAGCAAGGAATTCAATATCCTCTGAGCTTTCTTGGATTGCCTCATTCAAGCCGGGGGGTGAGAACGCAGGAGGCTGCTCAAACAAACAGCGGTGGTTACGCTTTTCCAGCGGGGGGGCAGCGTGCCTGACACTTCCCTGAAATGCCTTTAAAGGAGATGGTTAGCGGAGACTTTTTTTCCTAATTTAAACAGTGCCTGGAATAGAAACGTAATTTTTTTCCTCTTCTAATATTTTCAGTGAGCTCCCAGGGTTGGGCAAGTGCTGCGTAAAACCCCGCGGAAGATAAAGCTGACAGGGAAGCACAGGCTGGGGCAGAGAACGAAATGCTGGTGGGTAAAAGCCCCCTGGGTACAGCAAGGGGGAGTAACAGCCGAGGATTTTACTCCTCCTTTAACAGTTTGCTGGGGATCTCTGCACTTCCCTCGTTTAAGGTGAGCGTACACACAAAAAAGTGAAGGCACTTGCATGTATAAACTATGTTTTCTTTAGTGGTCTGGTACTGTACAGCAGTTGGGGGCAGGGAGAACAAACTTGATTTCAATACAAGGCCACAGCTGTAACTCCAGCCTGGAGTTACAAGAGCAAAACTGCGTTGTCGGAAGGTTTCTTGATCACAAATGCAGTCCCAGCAGCAGAGGCAACGCTTCATTCGATATCCACCAACTCCACTTCAAAGAACAGTTTTGCATTTGGTGGAATCCTGTTTGCACGGGTTAAGGAAGCTGAAGCACTGCAGCCCCAGGCAGGGGATTTACTCGCCCCTTCCCCGAGTGTCAGCGCTCCCCCCGGGGGCGAGCAGCCCCCTCGGCCCTGCAGGAACCCACCCTGGGAAGCGGGTGGAATAAAAACACAGGCTGAAACCAGGAGCAGGCTCCCCTCCGCAGGCCTGGTTCTGCAAATGGGCAGCGGCATCCGCCCCTTCAGTTCTCTGACTTGCTTGATGTTGGTTTTGGAAGCCTGCTGGGAGCAGCTAGGGAGCGCTCCCCCCGTTCTACCCCCAGCCACGGAGCGCGCGACTCGCTGAGCGAGGGGGTGGTTGTGGAAGGATACTTGGCGTCCGGCTGCCCCTTCTTGCCGTACGCCCACTCGGGTTCGATTTCCAGCTGAGCCTTCTCTCCTTTACTCATCGTTAAGAGAGCTTCATCCCACTGCAAAAGCAAATCAAACAAGGGAAGAACACGGCAGCCTTACAGAGCTGAACAAAAAGCATGTTGAGGGGCTTTTCTAGTCTCCTGCAACTGCAGGCGCAACGCCACACCACTCTGGCTGCGCTGTGGGGCAGGTTCACCTTTCCTCCCCCGTGAGCCTCTGCACCTCCCAGGGCACAGTCGGGCTCTCCTGTGCTGCTACCAGCAAACCAGGGCAGCAGCACGCTTCTTTCTAAGGAAGCAGTGACAGTTTGAGGGTGCGTTCCTCAGCAGCCCACCCAGGGGCCCGTCTCTGCCTCCTGCTGCCCCACCGCCCTGCAGCACCCACCGATTAGCCTTTATTTAAGGCTGAATGCTTCAAGGCTGATTTCATTTCAGTGCTTGTCCCTCCCCGAGACACGCTCGCGCTGCCCCAGGCGGGTGTCCAGTTCAGGGAGCAGCTGCTCAGCGCTGGCCACGGGCCCAGGGACGCCTGCCCCCCCCCCAGTTCCAATCCCACCACCCACAACGGCCTTTCTCCCCGCTCAGCAGCGCCGTGGAAGATGACGCCGGGTCGGGTTTGTGGTGGTTTTTTCAAGTCGGGTAAGCATGAGCTCCTGCCCGCGTTCTCATCCCGTGCAGCCAGCCGCCCGCATCGCCGTTAGCCCGGCAGCAGCGAGGGGGAGCTCGGCGGCTCCTCTGCTCCGCACACGTGCTGGTACCTCCCGGGCACACCGGGCTCTAGCAGGCGGCTGCGCACAGCACCCGGTTCTTCCACCAAGTGCTTTTAGCCCCCTGAGATCCTCCCCTCACCCAGCTTCCACCCGCACTACGGCAGCGCTCGGGGCTGGCCGGCGCAGGGGAGTCACAGCGTGGAACTGCGGCTCGCTGCAGCGTACCACAGCAACTAGAATGTGGAGTTGCAGCACTCGGAGTTAACAGATGAACAACGCACGGAGAGGCAAATAATACCAAAAGGATGCTGAAAGAAAACAGCCTTCTGGCAGGCTAAAGCACCCGGAATGCATGCAGTGACCAGCGGGGCCCCGGGGAGCCGCTGCGCGAAGCGCTGGGACAGATGCGTGCGAGAGGCTGTGCTCTTCCCGAGGAACACGTAGCTGCCACACCATTTTCCACACACTACCTCACGAGAGCAGTGACACTGGAAGATGGATGAGTGCGTCTGTAAAGAATAAAAATTACATCCTGGGGGTGTAAACACTTTCAACTTGCCTTTCTACTGCCGCAGGAAACAAGCACTGCAGCTCAAAATCTGCACCCCGGTCCTAAGTCCTGCAGAATGAAAACTCTTTTCTGGATTCGGAGGGAGTCATTAATAAGGGGTTTACTTACACCTCTGATTACTTTTCCTACGCCAACTTTGAAACTTAGAGGTTTGGCTGCTTTTTTCTTCTTCGAACCTGAAAGACAGTTTTGTGTTCATTTGCTTTAGCATCACACCAGCACATAGCATACTTCTCTCTAGAATTACAATCAGGCTTTATGCAAATATCTGTTCTTATAATTTTATTTTTAGTCCACCAGCAGATTTTGGGGGGAAAATTTAGTGAAGAGCACCAAAACCATTATTAAATGTTCAAGTTGCACCAAGAACTAAAGCTGATGAGCATCTTTCAGATGCTGATCCAGTGAATCCAAAAGGCTTTTCTGAATTACTAAAATTGATGGTACAAGTCATAAACACATTAGTGAAGCAAAAAAAAAAAAAAAGTCAGTAGGGAATGCACAACCTCATACAACAAGTACACCGACTCACAGCCAGCATTTCACTGACAGCCCTGCTGTTCCGCCCAGGGTTGGACATCGCTGCTAGGAAAGCATTTCTAGTGTTGCAGCATGTCACATACCTAAATCCTCTGAGCAACTGTCACAAAAATACCAGCGGACTTCTCCGCAGTGGATATGGCACACCAGACTACTTCACATCACTCCCATTCCAGTGCTGCCACGTGGAAGGGTTTGTTACAGAAGTACCCCAAGATGTATTTAGAATGTATCTCTAAATACATCTAAATTTAGATGTATCTCTATTTAGAGAAGCTAACTACGCTGTCGGTGCTCGAGTTCCACAGATAAGGGGAGCTCCCCAAGCAGGAACCGTCTTTCCTCCCAAGTAGTTTCAGCACTAAATCCCCGCATTTCACATTACCTACGGCCTGGAGAATGCCAAATGGGATGCCTGGCAAGATGCAGCAGTGTCATTTGACACCAGCCAGTCCTAAAATACTGCCCTGCAGTCCCTCATGGAAAACCAGGCTCCAGGCAAATGCAGGGACACCCCCAGTCAGCTCAACAAGACAGCGGGGAAAGCAAATTTGGCAGGACTCCTGCCACACACACCTTCCAGAAGCGAACGCCTGCCCAAGGCTGCTAATGAGTCCTGCTAATTTCCTCTACGCGCGTTTGCAACAAAAGCCGAACAGTTTACACGTGACCTTACTTGTCTGAATATTGGTATCGAAGACTGTTCCGTCCTGCAGCTTCCCGGTATACCAGCAATGCACAGTGTCTCCTTTCTTCGGAAAGTTGGTTTTATCACCCTTCTTTAAAATTGATTTTGTGTACTTTGGTGGCCCCTGGGTTTATAAAAACAGAGTTATGACCGTTATTAACCGGTCGCAGACCGACTACGTTCCAGCTCGAGCCACCACTGAGTTGAAGGCACCGAACACCCGCAGCCCTGGCGAACGGCACGCTCCCGCGCCGTCCCAGGGCCGGGACGTTTGGGGAAAACGTAGCAGCGCTGATGCAGTTTTCAGCACAGACTGAAGCTCTGGGAAGGGGGGGGGAAGACGCAGAGGGCCCGTCACCACTAACTCAAGTTCCAGGAGCTGCGCGGGGCTGAGGCACGGTGCCGACGCCGGGCTCGCCGCCGCAACCGGGCTGGAGAAGACCCGGTTAATTCGGCGGCCCCGCACCGCCCGAAGGACGCGAGGCGGGGGGTGCCGCACCGACCTCCTCCGCAGCGTCCTCGGGCTTCGCCGCCTTCCCCTTGGCCTCCTCCGCCTTCGCGGGCTTCGCCTTCTCCGCCGCCTTCTCCGCGCCGTCCGTGCCCTTGAAGCGCTGAGGGGAAGGAGAGGGGCGCCAGCCGTCACCCGCCGCCCCCCCCACCCCGGGCCCCGGCCCCGCCGCCCCGGCCCCGCACCTGCGTGTGGAAGAGCTGCGTGTAGGCCGCGATGAGCTGCTCCTTGTTCGCCGTCTTGGCCACGTTCTTCACCTGCCCCAGCAGCTTGTGCTCGGCCAGGAACTGCAAGGCGCGCCGGTGAGCGGCGGGGAGAGACTCCCCCCCCCATCCCCATCCCCATCCCCATCCCTCCGTACGCACACCGCCCCTTACCGCCTGGGCTGCGTGCTCCTGCAGGAATTTGATGATATCCTTCTTGGGCAGCGCCTCACTCCGCAGCTCCTCAGCGCTCCAGGGCTGCGCCGGACCCGCCGCCGCCATTTTCCCGCCCGCCTCCTCCTCCTCCTCCTTCCTCTCCTCCTCACGCCCCGCCCAACCTTCCCGTCGGCCCCGCCGCCGGGACGCACAAGCCCCGCCCCCTCCCGCAGCCCGGCCCGCGGCGGTTTGAAGCGACGGGAGAAAATGGAGGGCGGGCGGGCGGCGGCTCCCTGAGGGAGGATGAGCGGCGGGCGGCAGAGCTCTTTGCCGCAGGCCTGGTGGGCGGCGGGCGGGAGGAAGGAGAAGGAGGAGAAGGAGAAGAAGGAGGAGAAGGAGGAGAAGGAGAAGGAGGCGGGTTTCTGTGAGGTGGCGGGGTCCATTTGGATCTACCCCACCAACTACCCGGAGCGCGGTTACCAGCTGCGCATGGCCCGCGCCGCCCTGACGGGCAACACGCTGGTCTGCCTGCCCACCGGGCTGGGGAAGACCTTCGTGGCCGCCGTCGTCATGTACAACTTCTACCGCTGGTTCCCCTCCGGCAAGGTGCTGTTCCTCGCCCCCACCAAGCCGTTGGTGGCTCAGCAGATGGAGGCCTGCGCCCGCCTCATGGGCATCCCGGCCCGGCACATGGCCGAGATGACAGGTAGGGCGGCGGCGGGGCCGGGGCCTCGGAGGCGGCTCGGCTGAAAGGCGAGGGAAATGCAGCGGAGGGCGAGGGGGGGGAAAGGGAAACTTAAAAAAAAAAAAAAAAAAATTAGGGTGAGAAGCCTTTGAGGGGCTAGGTTTTGCAAGAGTTAAAACCCCAGGTCACCAGCGTGAGGAGGAAGATGTTTCCTGGGGTGCAGCCCTGTGGTTCACAGAGCCTTGGGGTTGCTGCACAGAGGCGTAAATATCCGCACAGGCAGTGTGCTCCGTAGGAAACTTAAGCCAAAGCACAACGACCTTTTTTTTTTTTAAAAAAAAAAAGAGTTTTTGCAAACCTCATTAACTGCAGTTTATTGCTTACTGAAGTAACAGCCTTAATGACTGAATCCCTAACCTGTTTTTAAGCACAAACCTTTGTCAGAAGTGGTGTAGGTCAGGTATAAGGCTGCGGGAGGGTAGGAGGCATCTCGAGCTTTCTAGCCCTCTTTTCTGTAGTTCTGGACTTAGTATTCTAATGCAAAAAGTATCTTACTAGCCACTGTATTCACCTTTTTTCCCTGCAAGTGGGACTAGCATTAAGGCACCCATTTCCCAAAGCCGACGCGTCTTCCAGTTCTGCTGGTGCTCTCGCTTCATGGTGTTTTCTCACCTGAACAGTTTCTTTAATTTTCAGGGGGAACCCAAGCTCTGGGTCGGAGGGAGCTGTGGACTACCAAGAGAGTCTTTTTCCTTACGCCTCAAATAATGGTGAATGATCTTTCTCGTGGGACATGTCCTGCTGTAGAGATTAAATGCTTGGTTATTGATGAAGCCCACAAAGCCCTTGGAAATCACGCCTACTGTCAGGTAATGCAGGAGTCGCCCCAGTCTTGTCTCACGATTACAAAAAACCTCCCTCAAAATCACTTACAGATTCTCCATAAAGTGTCGCTTAAAACCAAGGCACTGCTGATGTAGAGGACTGTTTGATCTCTTTCAAAGGAAGATAAGAACCTAAAGGACAATCTTCCTACAGTGACGATGCCTTGGTTTTAAGTAAAGCCTGTATTAGAACTTGGTAAGGGCAGGTGGGTATTTTTTTAGTGTCTGAATAAAATTGTAACTTTTGTTTCAAAACATTTTTTTGACTGGGGTAATTTAAAAAAATAATTGCTGGGCTGTTTCTTTCAAATGTGTTTGTATTTGCAGGTGTACTCTGGTCTGTTTATGCTATGTTGGAATAGTTCTTAAATGGGTGGAGGTATTTTTTTCAGAAAAAAGTGTGGGCTTCTTTTGTGAAGTTCTTTTATCTTAGTAAAATGAGTTCAAGATTTCTTTTTAAAATTGTGTTTTGTCTTGATTAGCAAAGAGTTTGTTGTGTAATCTTGGCTTAATCTCCTCATAGCAATGTGTGACCTAAACGAAAGTTACAGGAGAAATTGACTGAATGTTTATGGAGTTGTGTCCAGTGGCTTACTAGGCCTTTTCAGAGGAGAGCAGGTGGTTTGTAGTGCTTGTCCAACTTGGCATGCTGGAAAGGAGGTGATAGCTTGCCAAGTGAAAACAGTACCTTTTGGTTTGCCACTGTTGCAATTTTTTTCTGTTGTTTTTCAAACTATAGCAATTTCATCTTCAAATAATTTAAGCTTATAGATTATTTTAAAACACCGTATAAAAATCTTTTTGTAAAATATTTTACTATTCTGTGAATTGCTCTGTAGCATGGAGCCAAGACTTGTATTCATTAGCTTCTGAGCTGGCTCAGCTATAGGCAAGAAGAATCTTCTCTCACCCCTTGTCAGACCCCACAGCTGTGAAGTCATCAGGCTTTCCTCTCTGTTCTAGCCGTGCCTTTGCGTGATTTTCAGTAGAACTAGCAGCACAAATTGAATTCCTCTTTAGTCTCAGTTCACTTATTCTCTGTAGCTTTTATGTTATGGTGCATTATTTCCAACTTTCTGTTGTTGTTTCCCCCTCCCTGTGCAGCGCAGGGTGGTTGGTCAGAAGGCATGGTGTGCACTGATAGCGCTGGCAGAGCTCAGCCCTGTGACAAAATGAAGCGGGGAGGCAACTTGGTTGTTGCTTGAATGTTCACCAGCTGCTCTGCTTGTCCTGGTTCTGGTCTTGGAGAGGGTTGTAGAATGAGAACATGGAAAATGGCTGAATATTCCTCAGACTTCCCAAGTTGCTAATGCAACATTTTCATGTGAGACTCAGCTGACTGCTAGTTGGCCTGGTGGCTGTCATCTAATCTCTGTTCAGATTTCATGGGACTAATCATCCATGATTTACTTTTTTTAGAGTGGTTCTTCAAACTTAGTTTTTGGCAGTACGCTTGAGTTAGTGTGCTGTTAATCTTTTTGTTAAACCAAGTGAAAAATAATTTTGTAATTTACTAAGGTTGCTCTGCTGAATGAGACTGGGGTAATATCAGGTATAATCAGGACTAAGTGTTCTTGGATGAAATGGTTATAAACTGATAATGGTTATAAATTGAACTCATTCTGGTTCCATTTGACTTTAGGTATACTCTTGTTAGAATATTTTGTTAAGCACTTTCTACTTAGTGGATATTTTCATCAATATCGTTTCTATAAGCAAATAATCTCCTTTAAGGATATTAATGGAAACTTTCCTGTTCTTAGGTTGTAAGGGAACTAAGCAAACATACAAATCAGTTTCGGATCTTGGCCCTAAGTGCCACACCAGGCAGTGATACAAAGGTGAGTCAAATCTACTCGTGTGGTTGGAATAATAAAGTTTCAGTAGAAGCTGTGTTTAATACTGCTTGATACAGTTGTGAACACTGTGCAGGATACAGAAGTCTACTAGAATTCCAAATAAAAACTGAATCTCTTTACAGTCAGTCAGTTGTTGAGGGTTTGTCTTTTTCATGCTATAGACTTTGTATTGTTTATTGCTTGACCTTTCCAAAAGGAAATAATACTTTTTGGGTTTTGAGAATACAAATCTATTTGAAAAAAAAAGAATATACTCTCAATGCAAAATGGCTTTCATATTCTGTTTGGTGTAGTGTGTTGGGTAAATATAAGTAAGGCTTAGGTTTTCAGTCTAAGGCAGATGGACACCCCAATTCAGTTTAAGCTCCCAGCTCCAGGTTACTTCTGCTCGGGTATCTCATGCTGCACCTAAAGCCATGAAAGGGAGGGTTCTGCCACTCCAGCCCTCGTGCAATTGCATGCTTTTTGTGTTCATGGATTTACCATACTGGCTTTTTGTATACTAGAGATCTTTAGGTGGAGAATCTTTCATTTTTCATCTGTAAGCGGTTGGTGCCTTTTCCTTACAATTATATTCAAGGCCTGCTAACATATGGAAATAACTACTTTTATGTAGTACTGACTTGCACTGTTGGAGCGTTAACAAGCAACTATGGTCTTTTTTGTGGCTTCTCAAACAGGCTGTGCAGCAAGTTGTTTCCAATTTACTCATTGCTCAGATAGAGCTATGTGCTGAAGATTCTCCAGAAATTCAGCCTTATTCTCATGAGCGACAAATGGAAAAAATTGTTGTCCCACTCGGTGAAGAATTGGTAGAAATTCAGAATGCTTACATCCAGGTGAGTTGTTGGGTTTCTTTGTTGTTACATGGACAGTGTCACTAAATACACGGTCTCCCTTCCTATTTTAACATCTCTGTCTAAACGAGCAATCACTTAAAAAGGTAACACTTTCCTATGCAATTAACTTTGCCTTTGAGTATAAGGCAAACTAAAAAACATGGTTTCAACTCCAGCAGCTGCTGCTTCACTTTGCACCGATGATACCTGTTACCTTACAATAACTTAAAAAGCTCTGGTGGAAAACTTACAATTGAATTAGTTTTCTCATCCCCTTTCAGGAGTCCTTGTAAAATTGACATGAGACCTGAACTGAGGGCTTCTGAATTTAGTAGTATTAAGATGTTGAAAATGGCCATGCTGGTGTTGTCCAGATTATTGCCAGACTTATGAAAACTCTGTATTTTCTGAAACATTGTCTCTGATTAAGAATATTTTTTAGAGCTTTAAATAATGTGTAAGTGTGCTTAGGTCTCCTTGATTTTTTTTTTGTTTGTTTGTTTTTTTTTTTTTTGTGTGGTGGTTGTTGTTGTGTTTTATTATTTGGTTTTGTTTTTGTTTCTTTTTTTTTTTTTCTCGAGATCTTTTTTCTTTTCTTTGCCACCAGTAGATAATGCCCAAATACGGGGCCAGAACTGTCAGCCAGTCAATGATGACTTAGTGGTCTGTGTCTTTTCAGTAAGGTACTAGTAGACAAGTGATATTACGTAAGATACCGCTTTGAAAAGTTCAAAATGTATGTTCTTTTTTTGGTAAGAGACATAAAAAAATTAGGATTGTTAGTATTAGATGATTGGCATTAGAGTCTGGTTTTGGTTATAGTTTAACGATTTTGTGGTAGTTTATGTGAAGACCATTGGAAGGCAAACTTGTTTGCTCATTTTCTAGATTCAGTTAGATCAGCTGTTTTCAAACTGGTAACCTGAGAATGTATTTAACTGAGGAAGTTCCACTGATAAGCTAGCAACACCTTTAAAGGTAGTTTTGCATCACTACAGGTGCCTCTGAATGCTCGTAGAGAGTGCAGGGATTTAATTTGAAGTGTTTCACTTGAGATTTAAGCTGAAATAAGCAGGTGGGTTTGGCTAATCTGGTGTAATTGAGGAGCACAGACAAACTTTGACTAAATTTTCACTGTGGCTTCAGTGGTTTCTATTTCCTTTCTTTGATCTGGTATTTGCATTTTTATTGCTACTGCTTTACTAGAAAAGAGGACTTGTAACAACACAGAGTGTGTGAAGGGATGGTGCCAGGCCTGTTCCAGGGCTGGTGGGCGAGCCAGGCATTAGTCTTAGGGACTTCAGCACTTTCAAAAGGGGCTCCTGTACTTCTGCAGAGGGGTTTCTGGGGGTGTGCAGTTTTCTGCAGCACAGCGATGGACCTCGGCCGTGCCCTGAAGTTACATTACACAGTTTCTCATGCTCCTGTGTTTTGGCTTCTGAGCAGTTTGAGATCAGGATATGTGAGCGCAGCTGCAAAAAAGTACATGTTGCATTATCCTTGTCCCTTGCCAAAATAATCAGCTGTGAAATATGTTCTGAATAGCATCAGGATTTAGGAGAAAACTCAAATGCATACATCACTCTTCCTTAAGTGCTGCTTCTCTACAGCTTGATTCTGAAACCAGTCCTACCCCAGTCTGTGCTGCAGTAGGAATTGTGGGAGGCTGTGCTGGATGCTTGGCAAAAATGGGGTTGCAACTGGCTTCTGTGGTGAAGAGGAGTGAGTTTGCTAGCAGTCCTGATTGCTGCAGCACGTAGACACCTAGCACCAAATGTACGTGTTTATTTCAAAAAACATACATTCTTTGAAAGTTATTTAAGCTTTTGGGGCCGTAGAGTGACCATTTCGAATTTGGGGCTTAACTGGCTTTTGTAAAATCAGAATAGCAGCCTGTGGCTTCTGCTGTTTCCATTCAAAGGAAAGATGACAAAAGGACTTGAATGTCTGTTACAAAAATGAAAGCCAGGTGTACTCTGCACAATAAAATCATTGTTTTTAATTCTGACAAACAGTAACAGTAAACAAGACAATATTTCAGTGAAAATGAAGAACAGTGTAAAACAACACAATGCAACAATGCCAGAAAAATTATCTTTATATTTGTATACATACAGTAAGCAAGGCCCTGAGTATCACAATAGCTAGAATAAACTTTGTAGGCACTAATGCTTGTTTGAAAAATACATAGTATGCAGGACAACATTTATCTGCTAAGGCTACATCATTTAATCTTCCAAAAATATGGGTGAATTCTGTTTTATTATCTCCTTTGAATAGTGGAAATCTAATAACTTCAAATTAAAAATTAATATCCATTCATCAATGCCCGACAAAGTAGAGCCACAGGCAGATACTAAAATACCTAGTCCAATAACAGAAGTTAGGTAATCATGCTTGACATGATGTTTTCAAACTTTCCCAAATTATGTATTTGAGTAATAGTAACGTTTCCTTGGCATTCAATGGTGTAACTATTAAGTAAACTTTATTGTGTGTCAGTGAAAAAGCGCAATTCTTCGTGCTCATGCTTGTGAGGGCTGTTTACAGAAGTTGGTGCAATGTTCCATAATGTTCCGTAGCCATAAAGTGTATTTTCAAACTCGGGATTAATTGGTTCTCAGCAGCAGAAGCCATCTAACGTAAGTCAAAATAAATACTATGCTGGAATTCACAGTTTTACACCAAACAACACTGAACACTTTGCTGCAGTTAGGATATCAGCACATTCAGATAAATACCTTATTTTTATATGTCAGTAACAAGAGTGTTTCTATAACATACCCACAAGTAGCTGAGTCACAGAAGTATTTAGGTGAAGACTGCCTATGGAAAGAGACATAAGATATAGCAAATGCTTTTTGCAATAGATGTTTAAAATGTAAAGTATGTACAAACTGGAACTTTATGGTGAGAGGATTTAACTACTTCCAGTAGCTATTTGACATTTGTTGTGCAAAAGAATTAAAATAATTTCTGTAACTGGCAAAAGCAATCAAAATGCAGAAACTTCTTTAATTTGCCATAAAATCCTGTCAAAGATGAAAATTGGCTTTATTTGCTCTTATAAAAATCTCGGGGCAGGGGGTGGGGTGAGGGCAAAACAAAACCTGTAATTTAATGCCTCTCTGGGCCCCCTATTCAACTCGTTTTTTAAAAACTTTTTACTTTTTTCCATTAATTTGTAGGATTTCATTTTAATACTGGCTGGCATTTCCAACAATCTGAGGAAATGTTAAGAATGAATATAAAGCAAAATAAATAAAAATCAAACAGGAAACAATTTGGCATATTGAAAAGTAAATCTGATTTTTTTTTTTTTTTTTTTTTTTTTTTTCCCCTGGCCTTTGATCCTGTATCTTGAACAAATTGTGAGGAATAAAAGACATGACAGGTACTTTCATCTTCTCATTCTGTTAAGTAAGAATTATTTTGATGTACATTTAAACTGGCACATCAGGCAAAGTGGTTCCGAGTTGTGGCCACAACTGGGACAAGCATTTGTGTTGTCACCTGGCAAACCAGATTTGATAGCTTTCTGGTTGGCATGACAGAGATCCCAAACCCAGTGTCTTTTTTGCGATTCTCCCCCATCAGTTTGACATCCAGTTAATTTGCAGCAATACAAATGTCTGCACTGGACTAGTGCCAGGTATCTGAACAGCTAGGGATATCAGACATTCAGAAGAAGAAAGTGAGAATTGCTTTTTTTTTTTTTTTTTTTTTTCGTTTTTTTTTTTTTTTTTTTCCTCTCCCCACAAAGACTATCAGTTGGTTTGCATTCAAACGAAGGCGCCTCCTCTCCTCCTCTTCCTCCTCTTTCTCTTCCCCCCCCCCCCCCACTCTCTCCCCAAGGCATCCCTGGGGACAGGGACTTCCAGAGGGCACCTTGGTCAGGGTCAAGGACAGGCAGCAGCACCAGCCAGTGCTCCCTGGTGCTGCTGCTTGGCGAGAGGTTTTAGGTCAGGCATGGAGTCAGTCTGGGGCAGTGGAGAGCCTTGTGGAAGCAGGAGGCTTACAGCACGTGAGCCCTGTACGTCTATTCAGAAGCACTACAGAAATCCAGCTGGTTTGCCAGTTTACTGTAAGCTGGCAGGCACTGGCTCTGGTTGCTGTTGTGTGTGTTGTAACTGCGTGACGCAAAAGCTCTATTTAAAGCCTAAATCCTGCAATCAGTAAATAATGCTGGTGATGTACTTCATGAATTTTACGTAAAAAGACATTTACTTCTATTATTAAGTATTAAGATTAAACTCTACCATCATACCTGTAAGGGGAGACATTAAGAAGGGATTTCTGAGAGCAAAACCATTTGCTACCCCGATTCTAAAGTGCAGTAGGTGCTCTTTAACTGTAGGAAACAGCGAAGCATGAATGCTGCTTTCAGACCTTTGATGCACGTAGAGCTACGTGAGCTTGCCTTTCAATCACAACGTGCTAGACTAGCAGTTATCTACTTGCAGAATTATCATAAAGATGAAGGCTAAAAGAAACAAGCTGCAACCGGGAAAATTAGATATGAGGATGGAAAATTCTCACAGTGAGGGTGGTCAAATAGTGGAACAGGGTCCAGAGGGGTTACGGGCTCCTCATCCCTGGAGATGCTCAAAATCCAACTGTGTGAGGCCCTGGGCAGCCTGGACCAGGAGACTGCCAGAGGTCACTCCTAGCTGAAATTTTTCCTGTGATTCTGTGGAATATTCATATCATTTATAACATTAGTAATGTGGTACTGCCAGAAGACCGTAAAAAGTATCTAACAAAGTACTTACTTCAGCTGCACTCTTTTAACATTCAGCGAAGTCGTAAGAAGAAAAGTGTTCAGAAAACTGAAGAGTTAAGCATAACCACTTTCTATTTAAGAATGCCAGGTATAGTCATGGGATTATTAAGAGTGTGTAATTAAGGTAACCTGTAACTTTTGCTGTCAAAACTCTAATGAGCATTAGGTCTTTCTGCCTTCTTGGCCTCTTCTCAAGGTTAAAAGTACCTTGGTTGAATGCTTTCTGAGGTTAGCATTAAGAATCTCTGCTCCACAGATGATGACATTAAAAGGAGTCAGCACTGGCTGACTCTTACTCCCTGGTTTAATCCCAGTGGTCTAAATCTGGTAGTTCTTTTCAGAAATTAAGACCTGAACATTCTTTTTCCGAAGCGTAGCCTGCATGTGTGAGGTGGTGGTAATGTGTGTCCCCCTGAAAGCCCCAAGAGGGCCTTTGCGCAGCTGGGGCGGCACTAGGTGCCCAGAGCAGCCAGTGCGGGGGCTCCAGGAGCTCCCCTAGGACCGTCCCAAGCCACAGGCAGTCTAGAGATGCTAAGAAGTAGATGAGGAGAGAGGTCTCTGTCTCCCTTACTTTGTAAAAAAAAAAAAAAGGTGAACTAAAATTTAAAATGCAAAAAATCTCCATAAAAATTGTGTAAAAACTGTAAAAGTTGACACAGGAAAGTGTGTGTTTCAGGCGTTACTTCTGTTTGATTATTAAGTTGGAGTGATTGCCTTGCTAAACTGGCTAAAAGCCACATTTCTAAAATCCTTGAGGGTTTGACCTCTAGTCTTATGTGATTCACCTGTAAGATTCTGCCAGTAAATCAGAACTGATTCCTGTGACGGACAAGCATCAGAAAGGGGAGGCTATGGTCTCTGAAGGAACCATATCTCATTGTGTCGGTTGGCAGCAGCTGGGTTTGTATATCCTGCAATGATGAATGTATCCTGCAAACATAACTCGGGACTCTCCAGGATTTCCGCCAACAGGTTGATTTCTCTCATTATAGAGTCTTCATTGGTGATTCCTCTGAAGCTCCTGTAACAATCAACTTCGTATCAAGTTCTTTTTAAAATCCACCTCTTTTTTTCCAGAGCTTAGAAATGTCTCCTAAATTATTTAGTCATGTTTCACAAATGATACTACCTGACTTTCATCTCAAACAGCTAAGTTTTTTCTTAAAATTTTCAGTGAGGTGTCAGACGTTTTGTTCCTAGCTACACAGAATAATCTGTGTTTTGAGTTACTGCTACATCACATTTACAGATGCACCCTTTTAACCATTATTTCTTGAATAAATAAATCTTTGTTTCATAAAGCAGGCAGCTTTTAACATTCACTGAAAATCAAGTTTTACTGTTTGTTAGCTTTTAGAACTTGCTTTAAAAGACGTAACATGGCTAAATTGAAAACTGCATCCTCCTACTGTTTTTACTAGTACAAAATTAAAATGTTTCTTACCTACTATAAACAATAGTAGAAGGCCATTCTTCAATGATTATGTCGGAGTCAAAAGGATGGGGAGGCTCATCCTGCAGCACTTCAGGCAGGTAGTATGCTACTGTCACTGACTGTGTCATCTCCGATTGAGATTCGTTTGTATGGACTATGGTCACAATGGGTATTGTTATCCCCAAGTACAGTCCTGTGGAGACGTACGTGACTTTTAGAAAATACAAAAGGTCTACACACGGTGCTTGACTTCTGAACTCATACTGCATAATATAAAGTGACTACCACAGAGCAGGAAGAGTTTCATTACTAAAAGGAATTCGGTGGGATGTTTTAGAAAATGGGGTTGTGTACTCCAAGTGGAAGTAGCATTTAATTATGCCTTGTAGTTTGTGTGTGCATATATGTATGTCTCTCAAATCTACACGTGCAAATATGTGTGCATGGGTGTCTAAAATGTGGTACTTGGTGAGCTTTATCTTCATGCAGGGCAAGGAGTTTGACGTAACTTCTTTCCACCTCTTAAGAGGATTGTGTTTATCTCGTAAAACTGACCTTGTGTCATGTTTTAAATATTTGGGAACAGTGTAGTCAAAACAAGGGGGCTGCATTGTGAATTCATTTAGGATTTGCTGTTATCAAACATGTTGCTATATTTTTGCAGGGCTATAGGAAAAGGTTGTGATTTTGACTGTGCAGATGGCAGTGATGACTAGGAATGGGAGCTTTGCTTCTGTACACAGTTCAAAAACAAAGCTGTACTGTTCTGGAGGCAAAATTACGTTTAAACCACGCGAAAGTGTTAAAAGAATGGGGAGAGTGGGGAAAATACCTGATTAAGGAAAAGCTTTTGTGGTCAATTTTTTTAGTTTCTTGGAAAGAAAATTAAGGATTGCCTTGATTACAACACACGTATTATTACAGAACAAAACACTGGGCATTGCAATACTTTTTAATCAACTGGAGAATGAAAAAAATTAGAACTGATGGCTGGAAGCTGAAACTAGATTAAATTGGATTGGAAACTAGGCACACATTTTTCATGCAGGTACAGGCTATGAAGGACACTGGACTTGCTGTTATTTTAAAGTACTTGAGTTAAAACTGGATTATCTTTCTGGAAAATATGCTTCAACCACACAATTTTTTGGTGTCCAGACATGCACAAGTGAAGTATCATAAACGAAAATGGAGGAGGCAAAACATTATGGTCTCTTCTGGCATTACATTCTGCATAGGTTCCTAGAATAAGCCATTTGAGTACTGCTGTGGAAACGAAGCCACTAAAATTCTGTAGCAGAAGCCTGATTTACAGCTGGCAGCCCAGGAGCGTAGGCAGTGTCCGTTCCCAGGCCCTTACGGTGGTCACAACACCCCTGGGAACAGCCAGGGCTTCCCGCAGGGGTTCTCTTCTAGCACATGTGCAGGGGGAGCAGCGTTTTGGTTTAGACTCTGCTGGGAAGGCTCTGTGACAGGGAAATGTCCCTATAGACAGGGCGGAGTACTCGGAAAAACCTGATAAAAGTATCTCCCCAGCCAGGAGGAGCTAGTGCAGAAATACAATGTTTTAACTTTGATGTAGAATTGTGGTACCAATTACCTGAGGAATTCTGCTCACAAATGTACCTCATAAGCTTCATGAATCCAAGGCATATGCTCTGTTCATACTGTTTTTCTTTCATCTTTATACAAGCCCACTTGGCTTTTCCATACTGACGTTTTTCGTAAAGCAGATCTCCAAGCTGCAAACACAGTAAGATAATAACTCCGTGTTTTAAGTTAATCACCTAAAAAAACCTGAGCAAACAAATAAAAGTCAAACAGTATTTCAGTGCTTTACATATAGCATCAAGAAATCAGTTTCTCTGGGTGTGTGACCAGAAGGGCAAGCGTGAAGAATGATTTCAAGTCTGTCAGCTGTACCTTAAGCACGTTCTGTTTAATACTTAGTTGATACATATTTTATTTCAAGGTCCAAGCTGGTATGTAAGAAGTAGCTATCCAAAATCAATGCAGTCTATGCATCTTACTTGAATACAAGAATAGCTGCATCTTTTTTCAACTGTCAGTGAAATAATCTTGAAAGGAATGTGTGAATTTCAGTCCTTCCTCATAAAAATCAGGAAGGGATATGCTGCTGATCTTGGACCAAAACTTATTTCAGCAGACTTCTAAGTGGTTCTCCTTTAAAGGAAGAAACCGTCATTTTTTGACTCGCAGTATTAAACATTTAGTTGCAATTAACACTGAATAACCTTATTTTTTATCTGCTGTTATTACAGTAGTACTGAGAAATTGCTTTCAAATATTTAATTACAACACAACTAGTCAGGAGTCCCAAACTGTTGAGATGAAATACACTCAATCACATTGCAGTATTTAGAAATTTGAGTTATGTAGATCTAATTAAAAGAAATGTGACAAGAAATCTTCATACGTGGTTAGTAAACGTCTTCTTGATTTGTCATGTATTTAAGGTTAGGCACTTGTTTACAGCTCAGGAAATGTGCAAACAATTTGCTGAGCATCAGTTTCAGTTTTTCATTAGTGGGTAAGATGGGTTTGATAAGATGGGTTTGCAAATTGCTGCTTTGTTTGATAATGACTGTGATACAAAAGGACACCTTTGGTTTTTAAACCCAGATGTTAATCTCTTTCAAGTATGCTTTTCTACGGTTTTGTTAACACACTTGTAATATAAGAAGCAAATGCATTGGTTTAAATGGAGAAAATAGTCATTTTATTTCAGTTGTCAAAATATGAGGGTTCTTGTTAAAGTAATTATAAAATGTCACAAAGACTGTAATTCCTGTCCATCTTCTGACACTCCTAATTTCTGCCTTAAAAAAAGAAAAACACATGTAGAAGTGGTGAGACGCTAAAAATGGAGTGCAGCTACCCAGTTATAATGCTTTGCATTTATGATGTCAAAAACCCTGAATGGTTAAAATAATTTCATAAAGAAACGTATTTTTGGACTGAAAACACTGTTAAAAACTCAACCAGGAAGGCGAACGGTACCTTTTCTTTGCGCTGGATCAGGGTAAATGGGATGGTCTGTCTCTCCTGAGGATTGTTATTTCTAGTCAGTTGCTGAATTGGCTCTGCCATGTCTGCAACAAAATAACACATGGCCAATTTTTGACAAGCTGTAGAAATAGGGAATGTGTTTCCTTCTTGTAAACTTCAGGGGACTTCGTAACTTGCTAGCTGTTCAGTATTAATGGGAAAGGTGAACTGACTTCTCTCTCACTGCTATTAGGAAGAGATTTCACCCTCCCGCTCGTGTATTGCAATTCTGCCGTGGAAGGCTTTTGGCAGTGCCCGCTTTTCTGGCTCTGTGCAGGTGGTGTTGCTAACTCCAGCAGCTCTCCGTGTTGGATCAACGCGTATCCACGCGAAGGAGTAAGTTGAGTTGACTGTTCTTACTCACAGGTTCAAGGGACTACTACTGCAGAAACTTTGTCACTTCCAAGAGATGTCCTTGGTCTAGTGCTTCACTGGCGTGTTTGCTGAGAGGGCCCTGTCGGTGCTGCTCTGGTCAGGACCCCTGGCGGGTGCCCCCAGCAGCCTCACCGCTTTTCGCCACGATTCCCTGCCCGTGGCGGTCGCTGGGGGTGCTAGGACTGAAACTGGTGGAGAGCAAGTTCCAGCTGTGATGCTGTGGTGATCCACCTTATGTCTATGTGGAGTTCTGGGTCTTAAGTGCATTGCATAATATTTTTTTTTTTTTTTTTAATGCAAGCCCTTCTAGTAAGACCTCACAGGAAGGACCTCAAAAAAAAAAAGGCAAACAGATCTTTTCATTAAGAAGCAGAAGAGAACATGAACTTTTGTTTGTAGCTTCAAAAAGAGACTTCACAGAACAGGACACAGACTGAGCTGTACCAGCCAGCCGGCCGTGGGAGGTGGCTGTCCTGTTTGGTGCCCATGAAGCTGCATTTCACATTGTGGTGCAGCAGTGGCGTTGATGAACTTGGGCCGCCTGGCTGGCGGAACTGCAGAAGGGGCTGTGGGAGACAGTGAAGATGGGGTGTGGAGGAGGGATGGAGGTGTGGGAGCTACAGATGAAGTAGAAGCGTCCTGTTAAGGTAAAGAAATATGAGGAAACTTAAAATTCCTCATTGTGTACTTCACTGAAGAGCTGTATCTTAAGAAGATGTGATTGTTTAGCAAAGAAATTAGAACAGAGATTTGTGCTAACACAATTGCTTTTTGTTGCGGTAGTTTTATATGTATGTGCTGTCTGATTAGATCCCAAGTACATTAGATTGAAGCTTTTATTTCAGTTTGGAAGGGGCAGAAGATTGAGTAGAGCAACGCAAGTTTCAGCGTTCTGTTTGTCAGGTTCCATTACAACTGGCAGAAAGAGAGAGAGTGGTTCAGTGGTCTCAGATAGTCACCAAAAGGCATTAATAAAGATGAAATGGAATATATCAACTTTGACTAATAGGGACACTGTGTTTTGCATGCTTTGTATGTTTGCCGTTGTCTTGCCCTCTGGAACAAGAAGAGCTCAGAGCAGAGCAATGTGTTGTCACTTCTGGTCTGAGCTCGCATGTAGGTGGTGGATCATTATGTGAAGGAGAGTGTTAACAGCTGAATCCAGTTAAAGAGGTCTAAGCACCTGCATGCTCACTTACCAGTACTGAGATGGAACGGAAATGCCCTCTGATTTTTTTTTTTTTTTTGAATGATTCTCGCATTTTGTAAGAAATTAAATAGTGAACCTATCTTCTGTTTCTAGAAATAGTGATACCAGCCATCATCCAGTCTGTATTAACCGTTACACTTCCCAGCCAAGCTCAAATGGATAGCAGGAGCAAATATATTATACCTGCATATATAATACTGAGATATTCTAGTACTTCTGTTCTCCAATCATTTAAATATTGTTGGATTAGGTGTACTTGCAACTATGGTTGCCTTAACATCAATTCTAGCTGTAATTCATAAATAAATTCTGCTTAGGAGTTGATCTCTAACAGTCGGGATTGGAAACTCTGAATATAAGGTTAGTCTTAGGAATGGAAAGCCTCTGCCCTGGGTTGAGTGAATGGCGGAGTTTTTTGGTGGCAGGGGAGGGGGCTATCGGGGCGGCCCCCTGTGAGAAGCTTCTCGAAGCTCCCCCAGCTCCACGTCAGCTCCACTTCTGTTTGGGAAATTGAGCCAATCGGCTGCGCCTCTGCGATAACATATTTAAGAAGGGACGTGGTGACGGGCAGGGGGACTGGTGAGGAGGAGTTGCTGCAGCTGCATGAACACCAAGGTCAGTGGGGGAACAGAGGAAGAAAGGAGGGGGGAGGTGTGCCGGAGCAGAGACCCCCCTGTATCCTGTGGGGAGACGGCAGGGCGGCCCCCCCGCTGCCATCCATGGAGATCTACGGTGGAGCAGACATTGATTTATGGCCTGTGTTTTTTGCCTGGTTGATCAAGGGTCTGTGCCCGAAGAAGGCCGGGGTCTCGTGGGAAAAGGCAGCCCCGCTGCTGTAATTCAGCGCTGGGAGGATTGCAGCATGCGGGGGAGTCCCACGCCGGAGCAGCTCGGGAAGGGCTGCAGCCGTGGGAGGGAATCCAGTCGGAGGAAGTTAGTGACCCATGACGGAGCAGTGTGGGGAACGCTGCGGCCCATGGGAGGAATTCAAGTCAGAGAAAGTTTGTGGAGGACTGTCTGCTGTGAGAGGGGGACCACAATGGAGCAGGGGGTAACAAGTTTTGGACACTCCCCTCACCGAAGATGAAGGAAGTGGCAGCACTTCCTGCACCCCCCATTCCCTGCCCCTGCGCCCCTGGGGGAGGAGGTAGAGATATCGGGAGCAGAGCTGAGCCCGGGAAGAAGGGAGGGGTGGGGGGAAGGTGTTCTCAAGATGTGGCAATGCTGCTCACTCTCCTACTCTGTTTTGTGTTGTTAGTGTCTGTAATAAATGTATGGGTTTTTTTCCTCCCCCTAACGAGTCTGCCTTTTGCTCGTGATCATAAAAGGGGGATTTTCCCCCATCCCAGTCCTATCTTGAACCCCAAGCCCGGCTCTCTGTCCCTTCTCATTGCCGGAGGGGAAGGGAGAGAGAGCTGCTGCATTGTGGTTGGCTGCCAACCGGGCCCAAACCACGACAGCCTCCCTTCCAAAAGAGTTATTCCCTTGCCTTTCAAAATTGAAGTAATATAGTCATTTGTGTATTTGGATAGAGGATTAGAGACTTAATTTTTATGGACAGTGTTAGAAAGTCTGGATGTGAATTTCTGCCGTGCTACCTCACAGTCTGTATCAGACAGGCATGAGAAGGCCTAACGCTTCAACTGAAATAACAGCCCTTCTCTTGGGTGTTTTAAGTGCCTCAGTGTCTTCAGTGGAAAAGGTAGGATGATGGGGGAAGATAGTATTATCCATGTTCCCATAGAAGAGGAGAATTAACTTGGCCTAGGTCACTTAGTGAATCTGGAGCCGAGCTGGGAATCAAAGCTCCATCTCCTGGCACTCAGTGCAGAGGTTTTAGCTGTAAGACTGTTTGAAAGAGTAAAGATCCTCTTAATAAAGGGGAGAAAGCTACACTTCAGTTAATTTGAAACACTTTTTTTTTTTTTTTAAATGTCATTGGGAAACATTTAAAATGTAAGTAATAACTGACATAAAATGTAAGTAATAACTGACATGTAAAATTGATGTCCTTGGAGGCTGAGAGAAAAATAAAAGTAGATTAGGGCTGAATATTCTACAGAATATTCAAGAATTAGGAAATGTTTTAGAGCTCTAGAAAAGTTAACTCTGTTTTTTAGATTCCTTGGTTGAAAAATGTTGGGTTATTTTTCCCTTTTTTTTCTTCTATATTAATGCACAGGATAGGGATTACAACTAATTAAAGCTATTTCAGGAGTTTTATTCTTCAGTTTATGAATCCACGCCTGTCAGGCGTGACAGTATAACATTTGAATTATAAATATTTTAACCTGCATAATACTTCAGATTATACTGCCCAAAGGCAAGCGAGTTGCTTGATTTACATGTGATCTGTCAGTCCAAGCTTGCAAATTTGCATACTGGTGTGACAAAACAAGGCCAGGTGAGTTGTAGCAGCGTAGCTAGGTAAAGGCTTGGTTTAATTAAATTTCAAGGTTGTGATTGCAGTTGATACTGTAGGTAGGTATTATGAAAGAGGCAAACCTTTACAAAGGGATTTATATACATAAGGCACATTTGATAAGACTTGTTCATAGCAGCCAGTTTGGACAATATAGAAATTGTTGCATGTCTTAATTGGTGTCTGACGGGACCCGCCGGGAGTGTCACTGAAGTGGGACGTACTTGTCAGCCGCGCCCTTAAATAATGTACATGCCCCCAGACCTTTGTCATTCTAGAGTAGAGGAGGCAGCCTTGGTGGTGCTGGGACCCAAAATCTCCACGCTGACGAGCACCCCGAGACGCGCGCCTTGGCGAGAGCGGTGGGGAGGCAGCTCTGGGGGTGCCTCCCAGCCCCCCGTGGAAGCGGGCTCAGGGTCGGGGCGGCCCCACAGCCCTTCAGCGGCAGGAGGTCGGGCCTCTGCAGGGGAGGGACACTGGCACCGGTGGGAAACCGCCCCAGTTCCCACCAGACGCTCGATCTGGAGCCTGGGTACGTGACCTCAGAGCACGTGGCTTCTCTTTAGGCAGCTTTGTGCTTCAGCAAGTAGGTGGTTTTGATGGGGAGCAACTTTCCTGAGCTTGCTTGGTAATGAACGTTCTTACATTGAAATTAGAGTTGAGAAATATAAAAATAACTCCTGTAGCCTGTTTTCTGCTTCTACTGGGAAGAGATAAAATGGAGTTTTCAAGCCAAGTGAGTTGGATAAGACCTTTCCTCACCTTTAATTTTCTTTTACCTTTTCGTTTCAAGCTTTGGTATAGGTAAGTCAGTCTATAGGATTAACAGTGATAAATTGATATGCCAGCCATATTAAGTATCTGTTGTTCACATCTTGCAAAAAATCTTAGACTTTTTAGAATGCTTACAGTGTTCCTGTTACCCTTAAAAGGTGCTAAACAAAACTGACAAAGCAAATCATTTTTTTGAAAGGTCTTTTGTCACCATAGAACAGAACAGGTACCAAAGCTTGTGGCGGTCTGGGACCATTGATGGGAGGGAGGGTAACGTTCTTATTTTGCAGACCTTACCACTAACCCACAGGGAATACATGTTCTGGTGCAGTCTCGAGGGCTCTGTCTGCCCAGGTACCAGGCTGGCAGTCAGTACTCGGCCAAGTAACGGTCTTGCATTTTCTTACACTGTGGCATCGGTGACACCAGCCGCTTGGATGCGGCACACGAGCCACGGGAGGAGGTCTGCTCCCTACGGACGGGGGGAAACTCATCTGGCAAACTCTTAGGCTGTTCTAGTCGAGATGCAATCAGCTCCTGACATAGAACCCGAGGCAATACCGGAAGAAAAATCTTCTGTCTAGATTTTTGTAACAGTTGTGTAGGGTTACAAAGTAATCCTTTTATAATACAGTAACTAAAATGTGGTATAATACTACTTTTTGACATATTTCCTAGACTTGATATCCTGCCTAATTAACCTGAGGAGTTTCAGTGCCTTAGTTCTCTGCGTATCAGAATACCAGGCAATTTTGTGGGAAGAAATCTGTTTTTTTCCGCTCCACAGAGCAACTCTCAGGGGATAACACAGCATCTTGTGCGCCAGTGAGGCGCGGACGCGTTAGATGGGGAGCCCCCCGCCGTGCCCCCACATTCCATGGCGGGTGGCAGGCAGGCAGCGTGGCGGCCGGAGGGCGCCCGAAAAACCCTCCCGGGAAGGGGGCAGCCACAGGAGGGCTCTGCTCGGGCTGCCCTCCCCTTCTGTTAGTGCCTGGCTGGGCGCGAATTTTAGTCGTTAAAACATGAGAACGATAAGGCAGGTTATACCATCTTTGCTGTGGTGGAATACAGAACAAGTTTTTAAATAAGTCGTTGCATTTTGGTAGCTTCTAGTGCAGTCTGTTCAGAGTTTTGCTGCTTCCTGGCCTCTTAGAAGGTGATTTATCTGAACAGTAGAGATGCAGATCTCTACTTCTCTGTGCAGGAACAGTGCACATGAATTTAAGTTTCCGAATGAGCCAAGTTTGCAGTTACTCTCTGCTGCTTGCTGTGAGTTATCTGACTTATTGCAGCCTTTCAGATTCTTCAGTCTTTCTTAAAATTGAAAACAATTTCTTAATACGATAAGCCTGGGAGGCTTACTGTCAAAAAGCAGAGCCCATCCTTTTACTTGTTTACTACATGCCGTCTTTCAATTCAACCATCTTTCTCTAGGTAACTAACGTTTTGGGTAGGTACAGGAGCTATTCTTAATGCTTTTGCAGGTGCTCAATTGAAAATCTAATTAAGACCGAAAACTCACATCAGTCCCTTTTAGTCTAAACAGGTCAATCCACTGCTATTCCCGCCGCCTCTTTTAGTTAGAAGCAGCCCTTTGAATGGCCCTGCGCAAAGCCTCAGCTCCGCCTTGCTGCGTGCGGGGAGCGCCCAGAGCCCCACGCGTGCCCACCCCGGCCTTCCCACGGCTGCCCTGCTCCGCGGGGTGTCTGTCTGTCTGTCCGTCTGTCCGTCCGTGTGTCGGAGCCCCGCCGTGGCCGCGCCTCCGCTCCCCGCTCAAAACGCGGCTGGGCGGGGGGGCTCCCGCTGGGGAGAACCGGTGAAGCCCCCGGCGCTGCCGGGCGGGACGCCCCGTCAACCGAAGGTCAGAAATAACCGGGAAGGTCACGGTACCGGCCGGTAAGCTCCGGAATACCCCCCGCCTAATCCCCCCCCCCCAAACCCCGGCGGCAATAAGCGGCTTAGCCCGGCCCGATCGCTGCGTGCCCGGCGCTTACCGCGGGGCACATCCACCCGGTGCCCCCTGCCCACGCTCTGCCAGTAGCTCAGCAGCCTCTCCTGCTCCTCGTCCTCCATCCGCTCGGCATCCTCCTCCGGGCTGCTGCCGTTGCTGTGGTACGCCGAATCGGGGCTCTCCTCCGCCATCCCGTCCAGATCTTCCAGCGTGATCGCGGCCGGGCCGGCCGGCTCCGCGCCGCTCATGCGGCAGCCGCCCGTCTCCATCGCGCCGTGCCGGGGAGCGGGGCCGGGCTCGCCCTCGCCGCCGCCGTGCCGCTTTATGAAGGGGCTCGCCCTGCCCAGGGCACACGCGGGGCCGGCCCCCGCCTCTGCCCGCCCGCCCCGGGGCCGTGCCGGAGCGGGGGGGGGGGGGGGCCCCCCCCGGGCCAGGGCTTGCGGCCGAGCCGGGGCCCCTGCGCACCCGATGCACGGGAGCTCCGCGGTTCGCCCGGCGCTGCAGGAGCCGCGCAGCACAGATCCTTGTGTTTCGCAGGGTTTTTCCCCGTGAACTAACTCACGCTCTCTTCAGCATCTTTCTTCTCCACTGCTCGTCATGTTAGTTCTCCTTCATTGCGCCCGTCCTTTAATATTTCAAGCCGTGCTTGAAAGACGGATCTTCTGTTTTGTTCAGGTCGTTCCAAACTGGCTCCAGTTAGGAGTGCAAAAGCCACGGGTCATTTTGTTATTGAAAGTCCAGTTTTGGAAGTTGACAGCTGTGTAATTCTGCCATCGCTGAGGCAAGCCCTGGTGAGAAAGAGGTAGATGAGCAGGACTCGAATGGGGATGGTTATGACAGTTCAAGCAGGATCTGAACGTGAAGCAAGGGTCTCTGTGGAGCGTGTGGTTCTACTTGTAGTTGTGTTTCATTCCAACTTTAATGTGAGATAGGTGTCATGGTCCTTTTTGCCCAGACGGGAAAGAGGAACCTCTGGGCTTTCAGGATTTTAGAATAATAAGAAAATAGCCCTCTCCCATAGTGAGATGGTTGCAGGAGGAGACCAAAGGCTGGGGATACAACCGTTGACTCGGTGATGTGATGCTTAGTCTTTGCACCCCCCAAATTCCCCTTCTTTTTTCTTCTTTTCTGATCAGTATCTTTGTCCCAGGCTCAGCTTTGGTTATCTAACCCCAGGGGCTGATCCTGATGTGACAACCAAGTATTACTTGCCTTAGAAGCCAGAAATGTGCAAGTATCGACTGTGTACTTCTGACCCTGTAGACTGAAATCCTGCTGTTCCTATAAAGCATTTATTTCTTCCGTCAGCCAAAGCTGACCACCCAAGGACTGTTGTCCCTCCATTTGCAAATTTTCCAAGGAACAACTGCCAGTGGGAATGCCCTGAGAGAGCAGTTCTTTCCTAGTGAATTCAGCATGTGGGCTTTTTTTGCAGAAAAGTGGAATGCACTGGTTGCAGTAAATGAAACATATAGTTCCACTGTGAAGATGTTTGGCCTCTTCGTTGTGGGCAGTGTATCAACATCACAGGCTCTTTGAGCTGAAATTCACTGGGCAGGCAAATCCCTGGCAGCTCTCGGGGATGATCCTTGCTTAAGTGTTTGGTTGTCCAATGATTTTGATTTCATGGTCAACCACCTAGTGCACAGAATCACAAGATTCATTGAAAATGTGCCGAACTGGACTGTTTTTTTTGACAGTTACTGGATTTTTCTTGCAAAGGTACTGTTGAACTTTCTTTGTGGGGCAGCTACATTGCTGTGGGTAGGTTACCTTGAAGTCAGGCACAGTGTGAATTGGTCCACATCACAGGTAGTGTCTTGAATTACATTTTAGTGCAGTGCAAACACTGACTGCAGTTTTGTGGGTAAGGAATTTTCCATGTCATTTGGAAGCTGGGTTATTACTACCAAGTGGGGGCATCCTGGCGCTTGCAGATTTCTTCGAGGAAACCATTGTTCTTGAGAAGAGCTGACTTTCTGAGGCAACGTGTGGAGGCTCTTCCTCTGCTATCCTGCATAAATAATTCTGACTCTCTCACAGAAAACAGTCCCAACTCTTTTGTGCAAGCCTTAATTATGAGGATAAGTAGTTGCTTAAATGAAATGGCTTCTGTTTAGAGGATTGCTAAGCATTGTTGCTGGAGATGGGCAAACAAACGAAAACCAACAACCAGAAAAATTGGCTAAAATCACAGCCAAATTTCTCTGTTTGTGAGAAATGCCACTGAGTATTGACTAGCTACCCATGAGAAAGAGACTGGGAGGAGTTTAAGATCCTGTTTTAAAGATCCACCTGCACAGACAACTGCATGTGTATTTGATTTGGTTTTGGCTTGTGATGTGCCTAGGAATTAGGTACAAAGGGCTCCATTTCATACAATACTGAGGATCCGTTGTGGTCTCTGCTTAGACGCTGCTCTCAGATAATAGAGTAACTGATTGTTACTGGAGTTGAACAAAGCTGATTTTTGTTGTGTTTGTTTCTCCACCCAAACTTGTTAATCTTGTATGTGACTGCTGGCTAATAAATATTTACTCTTGACATAATATGGGTTTGGTACTGATGTATTCTTGGTGTTTTTCTAGCAGGTTCTATCTCCGCATAGAAAAGAAAAACAAATATTCAACCTTGCAAATTGAGGATATAAAACATCCTCGGTAGGATGCTTCTTTCTGTCCTGTGGCAAAGTGGTGATATTTACTGTTACCGAATGGCAGATTGATATAGAAAAGTCACTTTCTTATAACTTCTCAAGTAAAAGAGTAAAAACGTTCTCGGTGAAATTAGTTGAAAAGTAAAAACTGTAGGCCTTTTTTTTTTTTTGTGACTTTTAAGAAAAGAAAAATGCTGTAATAGGAGAATGTTAGGAGAATCCTAGATGTTAGGAGAGGACAAACTATTGTATCTTTTTGATGAATACCAGTGTCCAAGGAAGAATGGATTATGTTCAAGGCATAACAGGTCCCTGTAGAGTGGGAAGACTGAAGTGTCTGCATGACTTAATATAAACTTGACAACAGAACTTTCAGAGGCGCCAGAATCATTACTCGGTTGATGAGTATTGGTTTTGGAGAATTATACGGTCAGCTTAAAAACACTATACCTGCTGTGTCCCTGTTGCTTTATTTTCATTATTGGAAAGGTAAGAAGATGTCAGTAGAAAGCTTACGTAAAATAGCACTTTCCTCCCTCTCGTTTAGAGCTTGTTTGTCTTTGTTGTGACTCCAAAGTTTTACAGGGAGAATAACTCAGACTGAGCACTAGTCGCAGCTCCCAATGCCTTTCTCAGTTGCCCTCTGTCATAAACCCGCATTTATTTTTTTTTTTCTGTTAATAATTGTCCTCCTTCACTTCTTCGATGTACTATACTATGATTTGAGAGGCTCCATCAAATGTTACAATAAACTGTTCTCACTCTGTACATAAACTGTATGTACTCCGTGTGCCTGAGGAGTTTCTTTACAGTCAAGTAAAGGATATCCGTAAGCTCAGGGGTGAGACGTGCTCTGTGGCCATGGGGCTGGCCTGTTCTCTCATCGCCCCTGGGCTCTGCGACCCCGGGCACTTTCTTTTTTGATGGAGTCTCAAGACTCTCTCACTCAACCTGGGGTTACGGTTGGCAGAGGCCAAACAGGGTTTGCTCCTGGGACTTCCTCCTGGAAGTTCCTGCCAGGAATATTAGGTTACCGCACTGACGCCTCTCGAGGTAGCGCACTTTGTGAAACCCAAACTTTTATAGTTTCAGTCCTACAACAAAGCAATGAATGCTCTGGATCTTCATCTAACCTTCCCTGGGGCTGCTCTTCCCTGGAGCAGTAGAAGGCCTTGCTGGATTTCACGCCTTCCAGCCAAGTTGGTTTGCTCTCCCCCGCGACGCTGTGATCACAACCCTGTTGTGAAGACCTGCGATAAATACACCTTCTGAGCTTTCTTCCCAGCCAGGGGTGGTGAGGCCAGAGCCTGAAAGAAGCCTTCTCCTTCCCTTTCTTGTCTTCCTTCACTCCCTCCATTGAATATTTGAAAATCTGGGGCAGAGTGGGAGCAGCGTGGTGCCCATGCAGAGCACAGCCACAACAAATACCTGGATTTGTGTTCTGGAGCTGCTTGTGTTATTCCCCTACTCCTGGTTCGAGTGATCCCTGGTTAAGGCAGACCAGCGTGTCAGTGCAGAGAAAATTGATTAATAGCAGTTTTTAGGGAGGAGTAGCTGAAAAGGTAACAGTTCTTTGCCTTGCCAGTTCTGCTTGTAACACACACGGTAGTCCTCAGCCAATGTCATAGCTCCAAAAGCCGGTCCTAAGCTAATCTCAGGTACAAGCTTCAAAAAATCAGCGTGATTTGCTGTGGAAGATAGCTCGTTCAGCAAAAACCTTTATGTTCGTGGCAAATTTAGTGCAGTATGGGAGAATTTTACCAGTTCTCTTTATATATTGGTAGTAAATTTGTAAACTTTTTAAACTCAATTTAGTGAACTAGAAAAAGCCATGACTCCTAGTAAGCAATTAATTTAATTCTACAGTTCTGTTTTTAAATGGGTAACGTAACACTGAAATGTTTTGGAAAGATTGAGAAGACTTTCCAAAAGTATTATCTTTTTAATTAAAAATAAAGGTATGGAGGCAAGATAAATGTAATCATCCTGAGTAGTGTTTGTTTCTGTATCTCTTCTAAGTAGGTTATGTTTACTGTTCCTTATTCGTTTTGAAGCTCCAGGTGACTGGATCCTGCTGTCTTTCATAATAGTCTTCCTTGGTTTGTTTTGCAGAAGATGATTAAATCAGACAGGGGTGTACATTGAGCAAACAGTGACAATGTAATTTTCTTACATGTTATAAACTAGGTCAAGGGATTAAACATAAAGGTACATGTAATGGAAATTTCTTTTTAAAAAAGCTATACAACAAGTATAGGAAATGATAAACCAGTGCTGAAATATTATACTTATATGGACATTACTGTTTAATGAAAACATTAATTTATTTTCTAGAGAAACATATTTGTGTTCAGAGACTGACTCCATTTCCAGTACCTGAGACAGAGTTTAAGCTTGATCTTCAGCATTTCCAGTGTCCTCATGTCCAGCTGTTTAGGGTTTGATGGGAAGGTAAAGTGCTGTTTCAGTGCTATCCCATTAAAATAAAAAACAGTGAGTTATTCCTTGCATGGACAACATTTTTATTTTTAAAAAAAAAAAAAAAAAACCAAACAATTTTTTGTAAGCTAGAGGAAACATTTCCCTCTGTCCTTTTAAAGTGACTTGTTGGATACAGGCCAGATTTAAAAACACCGTAACGATAACAAACTGTCTGGTAAGAGAGAAAGTTTTGAATTTTAAGTGCTTAAAACTAAACCGAATAAGAGAAATTAATTTCTTGTGCATTTAGGCTTCCAAGTGGTTTGGTGAATGTTTTTTATTGTATTTTAAGAAAAGATCATTTGATTTCCCTTTTTTTCCCTTTCTTCCAGAATCTCGTAGCAATATTTTAGTCCCCAGTTGGTGTTTGCATGGTGCTAGTGGTTCCTTTGGTCTAATTAATCCCATTAGTCTTAATCAGAAGGCACGTTGGGAGAGGAGCCTCTTGTCTGGGCTTGGCTTTTCCTGGGGAGAGGTGCCCCAGGTTGCCTGCAGGCCCAGGTCAGCCTGAAGCCGGGGCCTCGGAGCAGGAGCGCCAGGCTGCCTCAGGCCTGGTGCCCTGGTCTGAAGGCCTCGGAGGGGGGAGCAGGAGCGACCTGAGCTGCACCAAAGCAGTCAGAATTTAGGCTTTGTTTCTATTATTTCTCAGCAGCCTTTATCTGTCCTAATCTGCTTAGCCAGCTGACTCCGGCCAGCTGGGTTTGAAAGACCCGCAGGCATGGATCGGGCGGTGTGGGAAGTCCCCAGCCCAGCGTTCCCCCAGCTTGGCTTCTCTTTCACAAGTTTTCCTTCACCCTTCCAAAGTTCTCTGTGCGCTTTTGATTCTTTGGGGGTTTAATGCTGCTGTAGTTGACGTGGCAATTATTTCCACCCCTTTTCTCAGGATTTGCTACTTAGTGCCACACAGGCACTGTACACAAGAGTAAGAAGGAATACCGAAGTATAAAAATAATCAAAGCAAGTGGAGAGAAGTAGTTAAATTAAGTTGCCTCTGCATTGACAGAGCACGAGCAGAGTGTGGTTGTTACTCATATTTGTGCTTCCTAATAGGTTCTAAAAACCCAGCATGCACTAAATGTATGAAGAGGACAAATGGAGTGTTGTTACTTAGTGTATAGACATGCACTGCACTTTCACAGTTAACTTTCTTTTTCTGTTAGGGAATTTTGTCTTTGCAAGCCGAAGACATCCTTAGATCAGTGTTGTTTGCAGCCTGAAAGTTAGATCTGTTTTTGTTGTTCAGCTGGACTTGGTTTTCTGTGGGTTGAAAGAACAGCAATAAAGGATTTAGGTATTTGTTACATTATAGCTGCCTTAGTGCAAGAAAACCTGGGAAACACTGTATGCATCTATGCAGTTATTGGGAACTGTCTGCTGTCAAACTAAGTCAGTACAGCCTTTGGAGAAGCTTGTTATTGTGTACTGAGATGGTTTTGGTGCTACTAGCCAAGTGGGCCAACAGATTGTAAGTAATTTTTGTAGAACAAATCTGATTACTCCAATTATTACAGAGTTAGCACTCATGCAAAACTAAGGCTATGAAAAAACTCCTGACCACCTCAGGCTGAGAAACAAAGAGGAAAAACAAGATTAAGACGAATTAGTGCAGGTCAGTTCCCTTGTTTCACCGATGTGGAAAGCAGGTACATGTGATGTATAAAAACAACTGTTTTTTTGGCACGGCTTCCGAAGGCAATGGGGCACGCTGCTGTGCCAGGCGCCCACTCCTCCGCCCACATCTCCCGACTCCCATCCCTTCCACACACAACTTTCTGACCTGTTGGCTAGTCCCACACCTCGGTAATTTAGACTCCTCAAAGATGAATACAGTTTTTCCCAAGACTGAAATGCCACTGAAGTTAGGGCTGTCAGTAAGAGAGGCATCTGCAGCGTGAGCTCAGTAGCTGGTTGCCCGTCCCGTTTCGTTTCCTCTCTGCTCAGTCAGTACTTGTGCGATTACAGAAGCTTCACTTCTCAGTTATTTGATGGATATGGGCTTCTCTCGGGGACAAGAGGGTGTCTGTCTGCAGGATAGAGGGCACACATCCTTAGGGAAGCAAGTTGTATGAGTTCTACTGGTCTTAGAAAAAATTTTGCAAATTAGCCTAGAAACGTCCTGATAATAGAGAACCTTATGGTGAGGCAGAGCACCAGGTTGTCACCCGGTACAGTAAGAAATTATTCAGAAATCAATACAGTTTGTTTTGAAAAAGTCTATGTTTCCAATAAAATAAATTAGCTGCTTCTGTTCTGTTGTGTAAGACCAGTCAAAATAAAACTGCTTCAAAGGACCAAATACACATACCTTCACATCTTTTGTATACTTCTGTGTTTTGTTTGCAGGTGCTAGAAACATTTGCTGGACGCCTGATCAGAATTGGAGTTTTAGCAAGGCGGGATATTCCCAGCCTTACAAAGTACCAGATAATTCTAGCAAGAGATCAATATAGAAAAAACCCTTCTTCACAGAGTGTGGTAAATGTCTTTCTTCATTTGAGGTTATTAAAGTAGTGAATAAATAGTAACGCTCCATAGCGTACAAAGTTTCCTGATACATTTTAAGTTAGATTTCCTTGGTAACAACCTATTGGAATAAAATATGCCTAGTTGTTCCACGTTTCTTGATGCTAATGTAGGAAAGTTAAGGAAAAAACTGAAATTGTTATGAGAACTTTGATTATAATTACTGACTGCAAAGATTACACTTGCCCCTCAAAACTACATTACCGCTCTTATTTTTCTTGTCATGGAGTGTTCAAAATTTGCAATCTTAAAAAAGAATATTACCTGAAAAATAAAAAACAAAAAAACCCAAACAAACAAACAAACAAAAAACCCCAAAACAAAAACAAACAAACAAACAAAAAAACCCAACAAATCAGAAGACACCCAAGAGTTTGTAACTTAAAAAGAACATTGGGAAATACACTTCACAGTAGGCAGGCCAACTTTCCTGACTTAAATTTTGTAGCCTGTGTCAATGTGCCAGAAATATCTTGTTTTGCCAAATACTGATGGATGGTTCAGCTGTCAGATTTTGAGTGTTGCTGCATCAGAAAGTAATGAGCTAATCTTGGAAGATAATACAGCTATTTTGGAGATCATTTTGGAGGTGGAAAAAGATTGCCTTCACTGATCGTTAACTGTGTAACCTGTTTTCCTGAAGGTTTTGGCAGACAGAGTACTCTCTGTGCATTAGTTTGTGCTTTGGCTGTATTTCTCAGATGTCAATCTTATTTTTGCTAGAAGAATTTCAGTATGATTCCTGCTGCTTATCAACTTCCTAATGTAGTGATGAGTCTGTTTTGTTTCCATAGGGAATTCATCAAGGCATAATTGAAGGAGACTTTGCACTTTGTATCAGTTTATATCATGGTTATGAGCTGCTTCTGCAAATGGGACTACGGTCCTTATTTATCTACCTTTGTGGAATTATGGATGGATCAAAAGGTGAAATATCTTCCAAAAAAAATCCTTCCTTTTGTCTCCATTCCTTATTTAATTTACCTCATCTGTATGGCTAGTTTTGCACAAAACAGTTTATATAATGCATGGCTTGCAAATGTAATTGATATTTTGTTCCCCTTCATCTCTATTGGAAATATCTTGGCACAGTGTTAAAGATAGACTATATTTGGGAAAGCAAATATGTTTATATGGCAGCAGTTCTGAAAAAATGAAGCCACAACCAGAACTCAGAGTAAGTGGCAGTAATACCTCTGGAGAGACAGAGAATAACCATTAAACAATTTCAACTGAGAAATCATTTGGTCTAGTAAAGCAATTCCTCCCTCTGTCACAAAACTCACATATGCATGAGTTTTAAGCATCTTTGCCGGAAGATTACAGATTTAGACACATCACACTAGAATTTCTGTTCCAGCTGTGCAACATCTTGCTCACTAAGCAAAATTTAAAGTTGTTACTGTCTTTCTCTGTACCTCTTCTCATTTTCTCAAATGAGGTGATAAGAACTGTGCACACTAACCCAGATGCATGAATTCATACAGGGATGCGATAATATTTTCTGTTCTGGCCCCAGTTTATCTTCCCAATTCTATCAATGACTATTGTGAGTCTTTTGCAACTCTCCGCAGTCATTTTTAGACCTGTTAGGTTGTCATTGCTATCTGGAAGACCTGGTTTGGTATTGACATCTCTTTTGAGGGGACAAATTCCAACATGGCAGTGTCAGTCATGCAATATTTAAATAAATATTAAGGTGTTTCAATTTTTTACAAAGGATTAACCCGTACGAAGAATGAACTTGGTCGCAATGAAGACTTCATGAAGCTGTATCAGCAGCTTAGAGACATGTTTTCAGACACACCTCTGGCTGTAGTGAATGGAAATGTTTACAAGAGTAAAACAGGTCAGTATTTTCCTTTTAAGGACAGAGTATTTACTTTCTGTTTAAATGAAACAGCAGCTAACTCCACATAGTTTGTAGATGTGGGAAGCATTCGTTGTGATACACTCAGCTGGTATTCTTTATTCCAGATTGTTTTGCCCAGGCTCCTGTCTGTCTGTCTGTCTATCTGTCTATCTATCTATCTGTCTATCTATCTGTCTATCTATCTGTCTGTCTATCTATCTATCTATCTATCTATCTATCTATCTATCTATCTATCTATCTATCTATCTATCTATCTATCTATCTATCTATCTATCTATCTATCTATCTATCTATCTATCTATCTATCTATCTTCCTTCTCTTGGTGGTTTTAGCTACCTTCAAACACGTTTTCTATGTCTGAAGTTTTAAATTTGATTTAAACTGAAAAGTTAAAATATGGTTGACTATATAACTTACAGTGTGGCTGTAGCAAAAGTAACAACACTTTCTCAAAAACTGGGTGTAACAAGTGTGCTTTCCTAAGTAGTTTATTCATCTGTTTAGGTGAATACAATTAGAACTAGTGTCAGGAATTTCTGTGTCTGACTCGGAGAATTATAATGGGAGGAAAGGAAGTTCACTAAGGCTTCATATTTGTGGCAGGTTTACTTAGATCTTTAATTGCTTCATTTTGTTTTCAGTGTTTGAAAATAAAAAGGAATTTATCTACAGCCATCCAAAATTAAGGAAATTGGAAGAAATTGTAACAGAACACTTCAAATCCTGGAAAAAGGGATGTTCTGGTAAGTACCAACAATTCAAAGAAAAAGTATCTGAACAGTTGAACCCGTGGATGAAAAGTGACTGATTTCCTAACTTATTCAAGTGCTTCTTTGTTGTTTTGTATGTTTATATATCTTCTGTGTGCAAAAGTTCTCTTTAGAAGAATTATACCATAACATTTCTTTAAGAAAAAGCATTCTGTAAGTTATCTTTATTGATTTGATATAAATTCTTTCAACAGCTTAGTAAAACAGTGATAGTAAAATCATGCCTAGTGCTACTATTTCATGATTTTCATAGTCACAGAGTTTGTTCTGGAAACCATGTCTCAGTGCAGTGCTGTCATTACCTCCTGCAAAGTTAGATGCAACATATATACGGAGTTTAAGGATAAAAGTTCTGATATCCAGACCGTCGCCAAGAATAACAAACACTGAGGCATCAACTTAAAGTTTAAAACCTTCAATTACATTCGTTTATCTATCATTCTTTTTCATCTTGACTGAAAGGGAAAACAAAAATATGTCATCCAGTAGCATGAGATTATGAAGCAAAGTATTCTGAATCATTCAGATGTCTATGACTTTAGGAAGTTTCAGCTTCTTGATCCAGTTGTTGCTTTTGGAATTATGACATCAATACTTTTTTTTTTTATTTTTGCAACATCTTCCCTTTTTTCCTTTTTTTTTTTTTTGAACTTTGTGCTCTGTGAAGTTCTTATAATTTCTGACCTGTCTTTCTGTTTTGATTTCGGTTTGTTTGGGCTTTTTTTCTATCTCAGATGCTTGATTCTCAGGTTATGCTTTAAATAACTGCTGCTTTCTAGCAGACTACTTGAAGTTTCCTCATTTCTGTCTTTCTTAGTTTATATGACCAAATGCATTTAATCAAATTACTTTATTCTTTTTATCTTCCCCCCGCTTTCTCCATTCATCCATTCATCCTTCTCTCTGTCATCCCTACCTCGCTCCATGCCTCTGTCTTGCTTCCTGTAACAATATCTTTCTAAGCTATTGCCTTTTGTTTTCAAATTCTGTATTCTGTACTGGAGTTAATTTAACTGAGTTTTGTATTTAATACTCTTCCATCTTTTTTTGATAGCCTGGATTTTGCTGTCATATGAATCCCATCAGATACGTTTTTCCTTGCAGTGTTGGTCTCTTAATAATACTAATAGGTATAAAGATACAAATGTTCCGATTTTGTGGTTTGTGTCTGTGTGCATGAACTTCAGAAGTGAGTAGATATGAGTCACAGAACAGTCTGAGTTGGAAGGGCCCTCAAATCCCCTCCCTGCCCCGGGCAGGGCCCCCTTCCCCCAGCCCAGGGGGCTCCCAGCCCCGTCCAACCTGGCCTTGAACCCTTCCAGGGAGGGGGCACCCTCAGCTGCTCTGGGCACCCTGGGCCAGCGCCTCCCCCCCCCCCGCACAGGGAACAATTTCTGCCTTAGATCTCACCTAAATCTGCCCTCTGGCAGTTTAAACCCGTCCCCTCCTCGTCCTACCCCCACACTTCCTGATAGAGTCCCTCCCCACCTTTCCTAACCATAAGTCTTTACTGTTACAAATAGAAAATTGCAGTAACGGTGCAGGAAGAAACACATCACCTTTTAGAGTGTAACTGGGGAGCTATGGTAGTGCATCTCATCATATCTCGAGCTGGCTCTGTTAGGAGGCCATGGGGAATATAAAGCAGCGTCCTGAACTCAGCGCTCTAGCTGCACATAGTCAAACTTAAAACAAGTACAAACAATCGATCCCGAAATCTTTGTGTGTTAAAGCAAGGCCAGAAAGCACTTTACAATTCACAGTCTGATCAGAGTTGGGAGCATTCTAGCGATTTAGGGAATGTAGTAAGCTCCAGCTTGTGTCTCCTAAGCTTATACATCTCCAACTCAAATGCACTTGGCCGTTGACACTAGTAGTGAGACGCTGTGAATTTATTTATTTGCCTTATTCACTGTGTTGCAGTGTCTCTGATGATACCTTTTGAGCAATAACCCAAAACCTGTACTTCTACCCTTACTTCCTGTTTCTTGCAAGTAAATTCTGAATTCACACGTACAGAAGTAACTGCACCCTAAATTCTGGTGTTGGGCTCTGACTGAATAGAGTGCACACCCGTGTCCTGATTTCTCCCTCCTTCAGACAAGAATTTGTTGTCAGTCTGTCAGTGAAAACTTGAGTACTTATTAAGATCCCAAACATAATTGCATGTATCTTTGCTCCATCAGAAGGCTCCGAGATAAAAGCCTAAATCATTATGTGAGCTGTGGAAAATACATTTAGCATTTGTTTCAGGAGTTCACGCAAGTGTAAAGTATCTCTAGGGGAAAAAAACAGAAAGAAACAAAACCTCTGAATGTAACTCTGCTTTGTTCCAATTACGCATTGCTGAACGACTCTGAGTCATAAAATACTGTGTTCATGGCTGTGTAATTTTTAAAATCAATAACTACTTCTGCAGAGCATTTTCCTTGTAAAGCCCTACATTAGAGACAGAAAAGGGGAGTATTAGTAACCTAAGTTGTCAGCCACATCAGAAAACAACACTAGCTCTTTTTCCTCCATTTGAAATGAAACCTCTCCTATGAGAACTTGTGGGAGCGGTGGCAGGTTGCCTGTGCAAACTCTGAACCATTTCTAACTAGTGACCAGCCGGGTTGAGTCTGAGCTTCCTGGCCGCTATTGCCCTTGCTTTGCAAGATGCACTTAGCAGCAATCCAGGTGAACATTCTGGCCAGCCCTTAAGAGATGTTGGCTCAGCATAATGAGCTTCCCCCAGCTAATCTTCCACATCTGGATCCCTGGCCAGATGGATTACGGGCTGCTAATGTCTTGAATTTTCGAAGCAGTATAACATGTTTTACACTACAGGGGCAGATGCTACTGGGCATTATTCCTATTCAAGTAAGGAGAATATGCTGAAAATAGATACAGAATAACGTTGTTCAGAATAAAGTTAGTGGAGGAGAATAATATGAACTCATGTAAATAAGATATATCCAGTCTGCACTTATTCTGCAATATATAGCTTGTCATCCTTCTCGGGATGGCAAATTACGCAGAACACATTATACCAGTGTTGCAATTGTCTGGTTTATAGCTAAAAATACTGAGTCATATTCACCACTTCATTTCTAGGCCTTCACAGGGGACTGGTTTCTGTACTTGACAGATGAGCTTCCATACTGCCTGCAATTTACTGAAACACTGCAGTAAAATACCAGAATAATTTAGACTAGTTGGAAGGGACCTCTGGAGATCCTCTTGTCTAAGCTCCTCGGTTGTCAGCCTCAAGAGTGAAATTCGTTTTAACCAGAGGTACCGGTGAATTCAAGACTCATCTTAAAAAGAAATGGGGGGAGTGGTTAGATTCAGCGTCTCCTTTTTGACTTAAGATGCTGAAAGCATTTCTGTATGTAGAAATGCACGGCTGAAAATTAAACCAGAATTTCTGGAAGTTGATCAGAAAGATATATATACTTGTCTGTTACATTTAATGCTTTAACTCCAGAAGCAGCTTGATAGCAGCATTACAGGCATAGCATGAAACTGGTGTCAAGGGCCAAGTGATTGTTCTTTGTATGTTCAGGGAAACATCTTTTTACACGTTTAGTCTTGAGAATTTTAATTCCCTGTCTAACCTTTCTTTTAATGAGATAAAGATGTTTTGTGAAAAATTGTGTAAAAGAGGAGATTGTTAGGCCCTGGAAATCTATTTGATTTCATCTGAGGGCTATGTCTAGGTAATGCTTATAAGCTGTGCCAATTTCAGTAAGTCATTATATCCTTTTAGAGATTCTCTTGTTTAACATACTAGGTTTTTACTTTGTAACACACAGGAATGGACATGTTGTTTTAGTATTTGGATAGGAAAAAGAGAAGGTGACTGTTGAAGATTTGCATGTTGCTTAGATAGCTTTTGCTCTTGCTCATGAAGGCAGATACTCTTATAAGTTTAAAGAAGAGAAGAAAAAAAAAAGTTGAGTACCCAGAAGACAAAATCCATGATGGTATAACATAAGAAACATGGGTTTGGTGAAAGGCATCTTGATAAGAAACAGTGTATCAATGGAATTATTTTCCCCTTTTCTTGGAAAAGTTATCTTTGCTGTGGAAGTGAGAGGTAGAAGCAGTTATATAACAGATCATTCAGAAGCAACAGATTATGGTATTAAGGGAAGCTTTTGCACATTCCTGCTGTCATGAGGATCCCAAGCTGTAGAACTGGAGACAACTTTCTGTAGTAAATCAGAGAAAGCTGAGATACATCTCCTTTACTCCACCGTGATGTGTCTTAGACTGATGGTAACTGGTTTTTATTGCTATATATTGCTAACCTCATCTGAATCTGGGCATTTAAGTAGCAGATTTAAGTCACATTGTAGGCTCTTTGGAAGAAGGCATCTTATACTTTATTTCAAGACACTTGCCATCAAACCTGAGCTTTTCAAAGTACCGTTAGCAATGGTACCTCAGATATAAGGTATTCTTACCGCAGTTGGTGTAAATTCTCCAAAATTAGAATACTGCTCTGACTCCAAAGAGGAATTGTTTGAGCAGGTGTATCAGAACGTTTTCTGGGAGGTTGGTCTAAATAGGCTGAGGCTCCTAATTGTCAGTTTTCTCTACTGTTTTTAATTTATTTACTTAGGTTATTTTTTTTTTTAATTAAATTTCTTTTAAAGAGAATTTGTTTGAAAAAAAATCAAAGTACAGTATACTTGGAGAAAATCTTCCCATTAAGTGAGATGAGAGCTGTGAATGTGTAGCTTGTGGTACAGACCTGTCCTTTTTTATTGGTAATAAAAATTCTCCTCTGGCTTTTTAAAATTGAACAGATCAAGTCATGACTGAAAGCACACCTGTGGATGCCACGGACACCAGAGTGATGATCTTCTCATCGTTTCGAGATAGCGTGCAAGAAATTGCAGAAATGCTTTCCCGGCTCAGTCCAGTAGTCAGAGTAATGACATTTGTTGGCCACTCCACAGGAAAGAGCACGAAAGGCTTCACACAAAAGGAACAACTTGAGGTAAAGAAAAGATGTGGCTTATATTAGGAAATAGTGATAAAGAGTATCAGTGGCGTAAATAACTACGTGAGTACTGATACTGATTGTATGGCAGTGACTGAAATTTAAAGTGTCATTAGTAAATTGCTGTGTAGTTCAGTTGCTTTCAGAGTATCCAAAATTATGCTCGTGGAACAGAATGTATAAGTAGAATATTTTATATGTTTACATTATATTAACAACTGCTAGCTTTTATATATTGGAAAATCTGAGGGAAAATTCAAATGCTTGCTTAGGGGATTTTTTTTTTTTTTCCTGTAGGTAGAAAAAATAAGATATACCCTTAAACGTAGACCTAGCAAAATTTGTAAAAAAAAAACCAACCAACCAAACAAAAAAAAACCCAACCAAACAAACACAAAAAACAAACAAATGAAATAAATTAAAAAAAAAAAAAAAAAAAAAAAACAACCAAACCGAACAAAACACGAACCACAAAATAAACAAACAAAAAAAAAAAAAAAAAAAAACAAAAACAAAGAAAGAAACAAAAAATCCCAAACAAAAAATATTTAAATGTAAAGTTGAGAAGATCTATTTTAGAAGAATGCCATGTTTGGAGTCAGAATAAGATGTGGGGTTTTTCCTCTAGGAAAAAAGGGTTGCAATGTTAGTGTTGATAACATTAAGTGCATGGTATTTGGTCACGAGATAGTGGTTGACAAATTCACAGAGACTGAGTTTGGTCGTTTTAAAATGTAAATTAAATTTTTCAAGTTGTGTCTGAACCTAGAAAGACGGCAAGGCGTGGGTAAGGGGCCTTGGGGCTAACCTGTTAAATCTCGTTTCAATTGTTCATTCAGGTGGTGAAACGCTTTCGCGAAGGTGGCTATAACACTCTGGTCTCTACCTGCGTTGGGGAGGAAGGCTTGGACATTGGAGAGGTTGATCTCATCATCTGCTTTGACGCTCAGAAGAGTCCGGTTCGCCTTGTGCAGCGGATGGGCCGGACGGGGCGCAGGCGGCAGGGCAGGATCGTGGTCATCCTCGCCGAGGGGCGGGAGGAACGGGTGAGTGTGTAGCTGTCATCTCTCTGGGAAAACAGCTTTCTTCTCGCTTGTTCAGTCTGTTCCAGGGAACTGCGTGCTGTGCACTAAAAATCACAGCAATCCTGAGCACTCCTAGCACTGTCTCTACTGGAAAGTGTAATAGCCCACGATATCCTAAAACTGCAGGCACTTTCTCGATGTGAAAGGCTTCAAGCCTTTGTTCTTAATTACACTTATGTTGTAAATGATAAACTGAAACTCGGAAAATACAGGGGGTTTGCCAAGGGTACAGAACAGTGTGTGGAAGAGCGAGGGCTGGAGCTCTGAGAGCGGGAGGGCTGGAAGCCACTCTGAGCTGCTGGCGCCACTGCGCTTCCAGGCGAGTACTCAGTGGCAGCAGACTCGCGCCTGAGGCCTGAAGAGATCAGCTTAAGTGGAAACCTACTTTTGCTCAATTCCTGAACCTTAGCACTCAACTCAGAGTATAATTAATCGTCTCGGAGTGCAGGCTGCCCCTTGGGAAGCCGGTGCACCAGTGGAAATCCAAGGTGTGAGCTGGGAGCCGGCAGAACCGACCTCCAGCCGCGCCGGCGCGCTGCCCAGCACCGGCGCTGGCCCCGGGGAGCTGGGCAGCCCCCGCTGCTGACACTGGCTGCAGAGCAAAAGGGGCCTGGGGCTGCACAGCTCCATCGTACAACCCCTGTTCTGGCTGAAAATGGGGTTTGTTCTTTGTTGGTTTTCTTTACTCGTGAGGTTGGTTCTGAGTTGGACCGGGCTTCATGGCAGAGAAGTCTTGAGATCCGTGTAAGCTACTTGTCAACCCAAAATTTCAGAGTCTTGCTTTTATTTCATTTACTCCAGTTGATGTTGTGCCTCTGGTTTAAATCTGTAGGTAGCAGGGATTTAATTCTAAATGAGAGTCCAAAGAATCCTGCCTGAGGAAAAAAAGCTGCTTTGAAGGGATGAGAGTTAAAAGTGATACAAGTGAACGGTATTTGTGAGTAGGAATTTTCTCATGCTGCTTATGAACACTGATTACTACCAAAAGCTCATCTCTGTAATGGGATATTAAAATGGTCCCTTAAATTCCTCAGTGTTTCACTTAAGCGGTTGGATTACTGGATTCTTCAGATTTTCTCAGAAGTCTCTGAGGCAGGACCTTCCCCCAGATAGGATGGTAATTTTATATATTTGTTTGTTTGTAGATCATGAAATAAAAGTAATTGCTGAGCAGTATTGGCTTGCTTTGGTTTTGCTTGGGATTTCTGTTTGTTTGTTTCTTTGTTTTTTATTGAGTCTCCTTCCAGATCTGTTAATGTGGAGATTCTTCCCCATCGCAAAACTTGCAGCTGAGCAATTAACGGTCTCCTATTAATTCATGGGAATTTGTTTCGTTGTTTGGTTGGTTGGTTGTTTCAATCAAACCACTTCAATTTAATTATAAAGCTTTCGAAGCAATTTCATTGGGAAAAATGGGTAAATGCAGGTCTGGAAGTTTGCTGTCGGACAAGAATTTCGGTCCGAAGCGCTGGCGGCTCCCTGCCCGCCGGAGCTGCCCCGGCGGGAAGCGCGGGAGCCCTGCGAATGCCCGCCGTTCCCTCAGCTTACAAATCTTCCACCTTTCTGTCTCGGCCACGTTCCCAGATGCTCTGTCTTTTGATCTGGGTTTTTTTAACACCTCGTGACAGCTCAGCTGCGTGTGCACTGGCCCGGGGGGGAGCTGTTAGCTGTGGATTTGAGCCGCCACAAAGGGGAGGGCGCAGGGGAGCTCACAGCTCCCGGGGCTCCCGTCAGGCCGAGCTCCCACTCTCTCTGAAACAGAGCAAAAGGAAACAGGCTGTCTCAGTAACAGCAAAGCAATGATTCTGTTAAGCAATTAATTTGGTAGTGCAATTCTTTTTTTTCCATAAAAAGACTTTTTTGCCTGTTCTGTGATTAAAAGTGTATTTATTGGAATGCCTGAGAGACAGTTTATTAGAGCTAGCTGTTAACCTCTTCCAGTTTTTTTTCAGAGAGCATCTTTTTGTGTCTGTCTGCTCTGCTCCTGGCTTCCGAAGATCATCTCTCCCTAAAGAGCATAGCTGCCATGCTGTCGTACTCAGAGCTCTTAGTCTGCCTAACGGGGCACGCCGCCTCCACCTCTGACCCGTCACAGAGGCTCAGAGAAGAAATACTCAGAGGAGAGGCAGCAGTTGCAGAGGGGGGACCGGTTTCTTTCCTTCCTTTCTCCATCTTTGTCTTGGTTTCTTTGTTGCACAATAAAAATAGTGTAATTAAAAGGACTTGGAGCATGTATGACATTAACAAATAATCTTATGCCTCTTCTTTGCTTGACCTCCTTTCTTTGTTTCTAACGTAATCTAATTTACATCATCCCTGTATCTGCTGCAGATTGTAAATGCCCCTGGGCAAGGGCTATGTTTCTTTTTCTCTCAAGTGCTCACACAGAGTGTGAAAAGCTATACATTGTTTTACATTTCGTATCGTTTGCAACTTAAAGAGCAATCACTGTTCTTTGGTACTTCCTTACTTTTTGTTACATTTGCTTTGAATGTTTTTCCCCTCTCTGCTTTGGTTGCCAGAGTGTGCAGGCATACTGCAAGTCTTGAACTTGCAGTTCAAGAACCTGAACAAGCAGTTATGTTGACCTAACTGACGATATTCACAGAAGAAGGAATATGGTTGGCTCTCGGGATTTGCATCGTGTTTTGGTTTAGTTCTGTTTGGAAAAAGAAAACAAAACAGAAGAACCACAACTTCTTGATGATGACACATACAATAATGAGAAACCCCACAGACACTCAGGTGTTCTTTCAAGTCATGAAAAAACAGTTCAACAGTCTGATTTGTCTTCTCTTTTACAGACTTACAATCAAAGCCAGTGTAACAAAAGGAGCATCTACAAAGCTATTTCAGGAAACAAAATGCTTCATTTCTACCAGCATAGTCCACGTATGATTCCAGAAGGCATAAATCCAAAGTTGCATAGAATGTTTATTACTGCTGAAGAATATGAACCAAGCAATTCGAAAATGCTTTCCAAAAAGAGAAAATCTAGTTCCCTCCAGCATAAATCTGCTCTCTTTTCCTGTGTCACCGGTAAGAGGATCATGGTGTTTTTCTAAGCACTGTGTAAGCTGCTATCTCATGTTGTTATATTACAGCATATCAAAACTGTGTGTTCACATGAATTTTGGGTCTCTAGCAAAAGTGCAATTTCTCTCAGCTGTAGCCTTTCCACTGTGATACTGTGCTGAGTGCTGCTTTGATTCCTCATCCTTTAACATCCTCAAATCACAGTTCTGTCCTTAAATATCCGTACTTCACAGCAGACATTTGATTCAGCTTTCTCTGTAGAGCTTCTCATGGAGCCAGTGACCGGAGGTCAGAAATTCCAGCTACAAATAGAAGAGGCAAGTGTTAATGATGTCTTCTGAAGACTTCTGATATACCTATGTCAGGTGCCATAACTGTCACGGAAATGTTTAGTGATAGTACTATATCAAGTCTGGTTTTGAGCTTTAACAGTTAGGTTCAATGTTTCTTTTAATACAGGAAAAGTATGTCTTGTACCTCTGTAAATGGCATGAAAACAGAAATACTTGAAAAGATTCAGAGGGGAGGAAAGGGAAAAATCAAGGGTAGGATGTTTATGAATTGCACACACCCTGGAGGAAGATTAATCGAAGGAGGTCAATGGCTCGTTAGCTGGTGCAGTTAGATAGCACTGAAAGGCTCACTAAACTGAACAAAATTATAAGAGAGGAAGAAAGAGCTAAGCTTTGTAAATACTTGGAAATTTTCATGCTTGAGCTCTTTGGTTAAGTGCTTTCTGTAAAGACCAACAGCAACTTCTTGAAAGAAGAAACTCCTGAAAGCCTTGGAAAACTTCACATTTCAGTATCTGAGTAGTTAGACATTAGAGTTAGTGGTTTTTAAATGCTTCTGATCACAGAAATTCTTATTATCAAAATCTACATCTGGTCTCTTTCCAAACACCTTCCAGGGCAAACAAAAGGCTGAACATAGAAAGGGGAACTGAGCTACAAAATCACGCAGAAAAAACCCACCTTCCCCTTTGGCCTCCAAAACATCTCCCGTTTTGCAGGGTGGAATTAGTATTGATCAATCAATCTGTGCATGCCATCCTCAGCCCAAACTCTTTGTAAGTATGCATGTGCTGCAGACACAGCAGTGGCATGGATGCGGTGATGCTCCTCATCGGGGTGTTTCCTGTTGTGCCTCTGGAGCCTTCTGTAAGGCACATTTATTTTGTGCACAGCCCGGGTGGTGGCCACCGAGGAAAACCAAGGATGGAATGAGCAGACACAACTTGCAAGAAAATAAGCAGAGCAAAACGTGGAATTAAAATAATAATTTTCGAATGTTTGTTAAGTCTGTCCTAGAAAACAGAAATGAGAGGCAGTAAGTGCATAAAGAAGGTGATGTGCTGAACATATTTCCTGCTGAGGGACTCGCGCTTCGAAGGCTGTAATTACCAGGTTCCTTTTGTGGGAAATAGGTTAGCAGCTGCCACAATCGAAGCACAGTGTGCGCAGAGGTCTCTCAGTTGCCGAAGATGAACATGATTCACTCCCCGTCTTGCAAACAAGCGTCACATGAGTGCAAATTGTTGAGCACCAGCTTTGTGTTGAAGTCCCCTTCAGTACTGTATGTAGCAAGTGGCTGTTTCTGATTTTAATGATATTCAAGATAAATCTCAAAAAGAAAAGAAAGGTCTTCGTTTTTTTTGCGTTTTCTCCCCTCCTTATTTCAGTGCCCCCTTTCACATTAGAAAATTGAAAAAGCTAGCAGTAATTAATAAGCTGTGTATGTTCTTATTTGTGCTCTCTTACTTTTCATTTCTTCTTGAGGTTCAGTTGGTCCTCAGGTTTGTCCGTGGAGGAACACGTGCACAGAAACTGGAGTATCACGGGCAGAAGTATTATAGTCATTTTAAGCATTCTCCTTTTCTAGTCAAAATTAAGTATTTCCTGTTCTTCTGAATTTGGTTCAGTTTCTATTAATTTTATACTATCCTTCCATTTCAGAATCTCTTTCATAAATTTTATCTGTTGGTCAATACCAGAAGGAGATATTATTCTTGTCTTGCCCCCCATCACTAACCAAATGTGTTCTTCAGCTGTATGAGCTTTTCTTCAAAATTACGGCAACAAGAGCAAAAATCCCATTACTCAGCCATTCTCTTATATTATTTCTTCTAATTTGAGATTATTTTTTCTCATTGTTTTGTTTGTTTGTTTCACTAAAATTGAGTATCATATTAGTAAGTGCAGTAAAATAAAAAAGCACTTAAGGAATAATAGTTTTGTGCTTAAAATGACTGGAACTCATTGGAGGAAGAATCTCTGAACAGATCTCTTTGGAGACAGCTCATGTTTTTTATGTTCATCTTTTTTGTACTTTATAAAATAAAAATAACTATCCCACAAGATAATTAAGAAGGTGATAGCACTGAAAGATCTGGATAGCTGTCTCTAACATTATCTTTGCAAGTTCTCTGCCAATCCCCCTGCTCTGAGAGGCATGAAACCACAATAGGCATGGCAAAAAATAGATAACATGCATTAAAATCTGCTCTTCCCATACCCTGTTTTTCCAGGTATCTGAATGTCATTTTAAGCTATCAATAATTTATTTTGTTTTCGGTTTTGCATTGCATTTGTCTCAATGAAATCTCTTTTTGTTAATTATTCTTCTGGTTCTTCACAATTACTCTACTCCCCCCATTTCAGACTGTATCAATTTTGAGTTGTCTTATAGCTGTGTTTTTTGTCTGATTTTGTAATTTCACATTATTTCTTTAATTGCTGTTTTTATCTTAACGATGCAATCTTCTTTTACTGTCTTTTTCCTAACCTATACCAATGCCACCTTTAGTCAGTAGACCTCTGTGGGGTTTTTTATGCCTTTCCAGTTGCCTTTTAATATAATTGTGGCAAGGCCTTCGGATGGCTGATAAATTTTCTGAGTTCATCTCCTATTTGCCTTTCTTGGGTTACACCTTTCATTGTTTTTAGGATGGCAGCCACACAAAACTTTCCTAATAAGGCGGTGGGGTTTTTTTAAACTTATTTCAGCTACACCTATTTTGAATTATTTCTTTCAGCCAATGACATGGCTTCTCCAAAATACCGATTGCATCTTCTTCTGTAGTTGTGCCTGCCCCAAACAAGCTACTTGGGCTGTGTAAGGGAGCACGAATATCAGTTTTACTGGCCAAAAGTGACCTCAGCAGCAATGTTCTGCTCGCTGCTTTACCTGTCATTCTTCCCTGCCCCTTCCCTCTCCCACGTCCCCATGCTACTAGTAAAAGAAGCATTTGTTCTGTGTTGGTAGCACATAATTTCTTAGGTAAACCAGCAGAACCTTTGGACACCTGAAAGTTTCTTTTGCACCAGCAGCTTTCTTCACAGTGAGCAAAGGGGCAGTTTATGACAGTGAAGTTGAGGTATCGCGGCTGGCTATACTGTCCTGGTCAGTCTGGTGCTTCCAGCTTGTTCTTTCTTGCCGTCAAACAGAGGTTATTGCTCTGAGAACTGACAAATTCCCTGCTTGGCTACAGGCTAAATTCACCCCCTGCTCCCCCTCCAGGCTATTTCTTGCTCTCCTCCCTGTTCAAGGGAAAGGAAAATATTTTGGTTCTGGAGAAAAGCACTGAAAGTAACATTAATGATTTTAGCGATATGTTTGTCCTTGGTAGTGTGTTGCATTCATAACTCATAAACTGTTTTTAAAGACGATTACCCTTAAAATGAGCATGTGCTACTTCACGTGAAGGGGAGACACTGTTGCTAATTAACAAATTCAACAGGGCATGGTAATCCTCAGATATGTATCTGAACAGCCTAATCAGTCTCAATTAGGATGGGGATTTTCTTCTGTAAGAGCTAAAGAAGAGCTCCTGCTACTTTGTAATTACTCAATAGTATACAGCTTAGCTTTCTACAAAATACTGTAAAAAGCTAGAGTTTATCTGTACAGTCTCAGTGAGATGTGCATGTCTTGTGATACTTTATATTCTCTAAGTGTATCTGTCCACTGGAATGGAAGCTTCCCACCTTTGGTCTGATATTACCTACAGTAGTCTAAGGTACAAACTGAACTATACTAGCATATATGTTGTTGTTAGTTATATATTCTGCTAATCTAGTCGGTGTATTTTTCAAAGTTCTTTGGCTTTTTTTTTTAAGTTACTTTTACTTTTGAGAACTCTTTTTCACCCACACAGTGTGTTTTAGTAATCTCTGAATTGTGGCTTTATGTAAAAATGAAGCATTTCACAATTTTTAGTATTTATAATATTCTATTCAGCTGTAATGATTCCTGATTAGTGCCTGTTTCCCTGGGCAGCTTGCCTGTATTTCCACAAACTATTATTTCAGAGTTATCTGCAGAACTCTGTGACACCTCTTTTTCCTTCCATTAAGAGTGGAGTCTTGAATTTGTAGTTTGTGAACGCTGAAAATGTAAGAGGGAGTTTGGTTTTGCTAGTCCTTAAGTCTGAATTTGTATTTTACTTGTATGCTGGCAGCAGTCATATTTGTCTGGGTCCCTGTTTCTTTCCATTTTAGTTCCATTTCACTTGATGTGAAACGTCAGTCCTGTCAGAGTTTATGGCGTTTACTCATCTCAGATGAATAAAACAGGAATGGAGAGGGTCAAAAATGCTAAAATATAGAAGTGACAACTTGCAGAATAGTTTGCTTTAAGGTAATTTTCCATCAGTGTGAGATCTGCTTCAGTTTCCCTCCGTGTGTAACAGCAACTAGGTTGTGTGGCTGAAAGAGTTTGAAAGCAGACTTCAGCTCCTGCCTTCCTCCTTCAGCCAGAGACGCCCACGTGTTTGGCTCAGATGGTCAGACCTTTCCTCACACTGTAAGAAATTACTGGTTTTGGTGAAGGGAGCAGTTGAGCAACCTCTGTAATTCAGGCGTTAACCCACTGCCTGCTGGACCATATTGCTCGTCTGCTTTATCAGCCAAGGGGATATCTTAACATGCCCCCCTCTCAGGGCGATCTGTCGTGCTTTCCTCATGCACAGAGTCCACTTTCTTGACAGCCAAAAATACTTGTTCTGCTCAGAAACAGAAACAAAAAGCCCAGAGCTTTGGGAAGTGCCTGTTACCTGATTTTGCCAGCTGCTGGAGGCCTTCGTGCCTCGACAGTGTCGCACCAGGTATTACTTGGGCAGATGGTATCGCAGGATCCCCTTGCCTTTGTCAAAAGGAGTTGTCCTCTGGAACTGTAACACACAGAACTGAAGTCGTCTGTTGTTCTCTGTGTTTCCCTGGATGGCAACAGTTCATCACCTGAGCTGGTCAGGAAAGTTTCGGGGCACTGTCTGGACAGCCGCCTTCAAGAGCAAGGGGGACCCCAAACCAGGTCCGTGGGTTTACAGAGTTGTTCGCTGGTGTCCGCTTTTTCCTATCTAGTAACTTGCTGTTTGAAAAGTTATTCTTGGCTCCTTGGTAGGCCATCTTTTTTCTTCTTGGTTATGAAGTCTAAGTCTTAAGTGAAGCAGTAGAAGTCACTTTGGACTGACCAAGGGCGTTGGGTTTTGGTTACAACTGAGGACTCTGTCTGGCCTTTCCTATCTACCTTGTCCAGACCTCCATGCTAATCCAAGGTTGAGATATTCTGTCTTGGTGAGCAGACCTGTTACTTAACTGTTCTGATAAACAACAGAAAAGGCTGTGAGATAAGATTTTCTGATAATGTCATCTTTTCCTTCAGGTCTCTTTTTTCCTCCTCTACTGGGTCCTTGAACTGTGTTAGCTATAAAGGAGTGTAACATCTCCTAGACTTGAATCAAAAATGCGTTAGTAGCAAAACTGGTCTTCTGGGGTTTTTTTAACTATGGCCTTAAAAAACATCAGTGGTGGTTAGTTTTTTCCAGCTGTGAAAGACGACTTCTGAACAGCACTTGAACCTGAACTGTCAGGGATCTTGTTTTGAGTCTGTAGTAAAGATTGTCACGTCATCCTGTGGAGACACAATCTCGGTCAATTATAACTTGAGAGGATTGAGAGATACAGGCTGATTCCTCTTACATGGCATTAATTCAGAACAGGGTGTTGGCCCCAGATTCATCCCAAATCCTGTCTGCAGAGTGATTGTCAAATTAACTTAATTATTTTTCTCCAGGCTTCATACATCTGGGCTGAAAGCAATCACATTCTTAACACTGACTCTTTGGATGTTCCTTTGCTATCTGCAGTGATGGCTGTTTTGAGGGGTTTGGCATTTTTCTGGATAGCTGTGGTCTCAAGGCTTGCTGTCAGACTGCCAAAAATTTCTCCATTTCCTCTTCAGCACTGGAGCATACTTGCTCAGAGCCAAGCAGCACCAGGGCCTTGCCTTCAGCAAGCTGCCATACTGAGCACTTACTTTGTTTTTATCTCGCATTAGTGCTCACAGGTGCCCTATACTTCCCACTCGCAGTTGTGAGTCTAAATAGAACTCATGAGCCTCCTTTTTTCTTTCCCTGCTCCTGGGGAATTTTCATTGTAGTTTTGTTTCTGTCCTCTTATTCATCTGCATGTCCTTAATAGAGGAGATCAATTCAGAAAGTTACTAACAAATATTTTTGTCATAACAAATTGATATTGCTTTCCAGTAGTTAAAGAGTAGCAAAAAAAAAAAAGAAAAAATTTACTCATTTGTAGTTTGTTCCCCAAGTTCTCCAAGACACACGTTTAGAAATTCAAGCTATATGCTTTCCCTGTTTGCTACACTGTCTTCAGGGCCTATTGGTATTTGATATACATATATCTCTCTATTTCTATCTGTCTGTCTATCCATGTCTTCATTTATATGATGCCTTCCCCCAAAACAATCATTTAATAGATTAATTCATAATTATAGTTCTGATACTTCTGATACTTGTTTCTGAGGGATAAAATATACAACACTTCTGATACTTGTTTCTGAGGGATAAAATATACAACACTTCTGATACTTGTTTCTGATATCAGATTCTCTATATCTGGTTTTGCTTGTGGCACAGAGAAGGTATATTTTCTTTTGACTGGCATCATCCAAAGTTCTTTTTATTCTGTGTATCCTTCTTCTTAAAGTAGATAACATTTTCCTTTTTTTCCCACCATAGGCCAAAGGCAAATGCACTGTCATGAGAATTGGGCTCTGTCACCTGAGGAATTTGACATATGGGACAGATTTTACAGGATTAAGGAAAGTGATGGAGTAAAGGAACCGATACTGCCTCAAATTCAGTTTGAAGCCTTTGAAAACCTCGAAGAAATATCAGTGAGTTTAACCTAAAAGTAATGTTTCCTTTGACATGAAGCTTAAAGGATACCCTAAGTAACAAAGTTAACTATGAACTTAAAGGAGGTCTATATTAAAAATGCAATTTTGAGAATTATATGTAGGTTTTTGAGGTTAAGTATTTAGGAGTTAGATGTTTGAAATGGGTCTTGGAGGTTGGGTCTGTAAATTAAAAATACATTAAAAAGTCTCTTAGTATCCACTGAGTTCTGTTCCTGTTTCTAAGAATTCCATGCAAGATGCTGTATTCATGACAGTGTTGTATCCATGCTTTTTCATTCCCTTGTTTATATAACTATGAAAGTGTTACTGAAATAAAAGCTCCAGTTTTACAAACTTTTCTGATTCAGAGAAAAATCTTGGAGATTTTGTGTCATGTCACCACTTAAAGCAACCTGTCTTCCATGAAAAGCCATGACAACACAAAGCATGGACTTGTTTTTGTTTAAACCAGACTTAAACCTTTGTGATAATGTTTAGGTGCTTTTCTTCATCCAGAGTATTTATGAACCCTGACAGAGAAGTAGACATTAGTTATGCTAAATAATTTCATGATTAAAATCTCCTTGTCAATCTTAATTTCCAACTGCAGAAGCATGAAGAGAAGGCAACTCATGAACTTTCCCTGTCTGAATGGAGAATTTGGCAGAATCATCCTTTTCCTACATTCATGGTTGATCACTCAGATCGTTGCTACCATTTTATCAGTGTTATGAAAATGATAGAACTGATGAGAGATGAAAAGGTAAGGTGTTTACATTTGGCTGGCTGTAAACATGCACAAGTATTTAATGCACAGGTAGATTATTTAAAAAATAAGAAGTGCTCTAGTTCTGTCTGGTCAGGTGAAACAAAAAAGCGGGGAAGTGTTTGCATTGGGCTAAGTTAGGCATTATGAAATGAATAATGTGTTTAATTTTGTTTGAAAATGTCTCCCACTGGTATTCTGTAATTCTTAATCTTTCCCACAGGAGTTGTTTAAATTAGTGTTTCCCTACACAGAAAAAAAAAAAAAAAAACAACAAACACACCTATAAATCATTCTTTTTTTTTTTTTTTTTTTTTTTTTTTAATGGATCCAAGCATCAGTTTTTTACAAAAAGACATTAAGTACAAGAACTGTGTATGTCAAGGAGCAGAGTCACCAAGAGTGGTACTAGAACTATTGGAAATAATTTTGTATCATGTATGTACATCAAATGTATCCCATAAAAATGATTGCATGTTTTGAGGTGATTTTGAATGTATTGCATGTTTTAAGGTGATTGTGTTTTGAGGCCTTTTGGTTTGTTTTCTGTGAAAGCTTTAATTAAAAACTTAATTGCTCCTAATAATTAAAGGATAAGAGGAGGACAGTCAAACAAATACGGATGAAAACCATTTGGGAGATGAGAATTTTGTTTACTAAGAGTTATGGATAGCAGCTATGCCGTTATAATGAAAGGCACATACAAGAAAATGGGTGTAGTGGTGGGTCCATTGACAGTCCCTGAAGACACTATTTTTTTCTCCAGTTTAGCTCTTCTGTGTTCCATGCATATTGCTTTTTAGCGTGTTGAAGTTTTCTAGGTCATCAAAATCTGTTGCTAAGCTGCCAGTTTCCTGAATGACTAGACTAATCAAAGAAGAGAAGAGAGACATTGTAGCTGTACTCCTTGCTAGGAAAGTGTATTAATGGGAGGTTGTTAGTAGACTGTCAGGGCTAAGATAATTTATTCCACTTCATCACAGAACAATGGCATTCTTGACTTCTTTGAGAGCCTGTGTTCCCAAGCCACGGTCAAGAACATGCTGCCAGAGAGAGAGGACTTTGGGGAGAGGTCAGGTATAGAGACCTGAAAGAAGTCAAGAGGCAAAGAAATGGTTAAAAAATATAGAATTGCTCTTCTAACTGAGGACTTCCCTCCCCACCACCAAGTCACACACTTGAACTATTGGTGACTTAAGTTCCTTTTGTGAAAGTGTATTGATACCAGAAGTCTGTTCAGGTTCCCAAGCGCCTTCAAAGTTGTAGATGCTAAACCAACACCTGGCACCCTTAAACGAACTTACAGAGCAAATTCGTTAGACACCAAGCAAGTCTCTTGTCTTCTCCCTCTAGCTCTACCAAAGCGAGTGCCAAAAATTGTAAGCAAAGCCGAGTATCAAATGCTTTTGCAGAACTCTTACAGAGCCAGGTCTGCCTGCTGTCCCTCGCAGGGATGAGACAGCCCAGCTCACCTACCGCGGCTCTCTGCTGTGTAGTGGACAGAGGGGATGTCCCTTCAACAGGCAGGACCCAAACCCATGGCTTTTTACACCGTGGTCATCCCTTTACACTTTGGTTAGCTCTGGGGATGGCCGTCCGGGCCAGGCGGGGTGTGCGGTGCCGCATTTTCTATGTAGTGTGACTCGTGCTGACGTGTGCCCCGGTGGCACGTGGCAAGCTCTCCCCCCACGGGCTTCAGAGCGGTCCTGCGAACAGCAGGTTGCAGTGCTGCAGAGAGTCTTGGAAAATACTGGAAGATCTGCATCAGAAAAGAAGGGCTACAGCTATGAATTGATAACGAGTGATAATCTTGCACGATTTCTAATTTAACAGCTAAATGTCAGCTTAATCGTCATACATTATAGATACTGCTCTTGCAGTCAAAAGAACGGGACTGACTTGTTATCTCATTCAGCTGCCTTATCTGGATTGATTTCCAGCCAGCTTTCTCTGATCTGTCTTAACTAGTCATAGCTGGAGACACTGAACTTTCTCATCAACTAGGGGAGAAATCATAATTGGATGTCGCTGGCATGCTGAAAGCATCTTCTAATAACTCCACTGAACGTGAGAGGTTACAACATGACCCATCACTCCACCCTATTGAATTCTTCTAGGGAAAAACAGCACTAGCAGTAACTGCTCATCTGGCAGTAACTCTGACCATGTCTGGCAAGGTTGACAGGGCAGAAGCTGTAATTGGCACTGACACCCAGTTTTTAAACTGCAGTGCTTGTTGGCCTCTTTCTTATATCTAAATAAATTGTCAAGGTTCAAGGACATCAAAGCTTTGCCGTAACTGTTTCACAAAAGGCAAAGATGCAACGTGTGTTAATCTATTTTGTCAGCGCTGACAGTGATTTCTTGTATGTGAGTTTTATTAACATTTTCCTAAGTTATCCTTGACTTCTCTGAAAGGCACCGATAGTCTTCCCAAGACAGGGTATGTTCCCACTGAATTCTCCAAAGGGAAGGGAAGGGAATGATGTATATTATGTTTATAGTGGAATTGCCTTGGAGCAGTCGCTGTGCTGTGGCAGTCCTCAGTTATCATGTAGATTACACCAGCAAAAACTTGTTGCCGTGCAATTTGGAAGAGAACAATCTTCCATACTGCTGCCGTGAGAGTATGTGTGAGTGTGGGCAAGGTGGTTTTGGCTTCCTATTACTACCAATCTTGTCCTGATTCAGTCTTCCTACAGCTTCAGTTCTGGTGAATCAGAGAACACATGCAGAGAAAAAGGTGTATAATTATACAGCGAGTCAGGCTAAAGAGCCTATCAGTATAAAGTATATTTTAAAAAAATCTCTCTGTTGTAAACTGTTTCTGCTAGTGAACGCTGCCTTGAGGGCCGTCCCTGTGACCACAGAGCAGTTCAGTTTGGATGTGTGGAGCTCTCTGGTCCAGCCCAGGGCCCGGGTACCCCAGGTAGCAGGGGCCTCCACAACTCAAGCCTCCAGGATCTCCAGGACCGGAATCCCACAGCTTCTCTGGGCCCCTGGTTCAGCATTTGATCGCCCTCATGGTGAAAAAATTTCTCCTAATACCTAATCGAAATTTCCCTTGTTTCATGTTGTGCCCATTAACTCTGCCCTCCGCATACCTCCAGGAAGCCTGGCTCTGTCTCCCCTCTGCTCATACACTAGATAAAGATGGTAATAAGATCTTTTCTTCATAAGACTGAACAGAGTTCCCTTGTCTCCCCTCGTACGTCCTTGTGCTCCAGCCCTGTGACAGTTTTGGCCACCTCTGCTGGACTTGATCCAGTCGGCGATATTTCCTGTACTGAGGGCCCAAAACTAGAATGCAAGAGCTCCAGGTGTCTCATGGGTGATGAGCAGAGGAGAATGATCCTTCCCCTTGCCCTGGGGGTGACTCTCTTGCTAGTGGCGCCTGGGCACGATAGCCTTTGTTGCCACCACGGCACACTGCTCTCTCGTTTTCCTGCTGTGAGGTTTCTGTCAGCCCGTTGAGGGACCTCTGGGCAGCAGCCCTGCCCTCAAGCGTTTCACCTGCTTCCCCCCCCCGCCTGGTGCCATCTGCAAACCTACTGCAGGTGCACTCTGTATTGCAGTCAAGGTCAGGAATAATGCTGAACGCTTCCACACCTCTGCGAAACCCTCCTAGCAGCTAGCCGCTGGCTGGACTTCACGCCACTCCTCAAAACACTTTAGTCCTGGTGGTCCAGCCAGTTTTCCACCCACCCTTACTGTCCACTTATTCAAACTATATCTCACAAGTTTAACTGTGCTGAAGTCAAGGTAGACAGTATCCATTGCACTTTTCTTGCCCACAAAGCTGATTACCTCTTCATAAAAGGCAGTCTTGAATCCTTCATCCCTATGCGTTCTGCGCGCTTGTTGGGATATTCTCGTGAAAGCTTGAATGTTTTCCTACTAGTTTGATTCGAAGGTTGAACTTCAAGCTTAAATTTAGAATAAATACAACGTTCACGTAGCATTCTGACTTCACACATTTAGATTTTCCTTATGATGCAATATTCCCAACACTATTGCATATAAAATTGTTCACATTAGGGCCTTTCAAAAATTAAGCAAGCTTTGCCAAAAAGTGATTATGCCACGTTGCCCGTGGCCAGACATGCGGGGAGGCATGGATGGTTTACTTCAACAGTAACTCGAACACTTTTTTTTTTTTTTTATTGCATAGAGTGCTGCTTCTTAGAAGAAAATATTCATTTAAAAATGCAAAAGTAGAGCGAAATTAAAGAAACTTTAGGATTCGTAGGCAGTGTTTTGAATTTCTGCACACCTACTGAGGCATGTTTGTGTGGGTGGGTATCTCCCGGCTGTATTTCTGGCTCTGATGCTGGGTGGGCAAACTTCCGCCGGCGCAGGGCTGCACAGCACCGGCCCCGTGTGGTTTTCGCCCCTGGTTTTTTTCACGAGCAGTTCAGCGTAAGACTGGGAACACCATGCGGTTGAAAAGCCTGCTTTTCTGCCAATTTGACCTACGCCCTGCGTGGCAGCCTGCTCCGTGCCGCAGGGAGGCCCCCGGGTGCGTTGTGCCTGCTCGGGGCACAGCTGCTTCGTGGCCAGACTGCCGCTGCCGCCCGCATTAGCTGGGCGTGCTTGTGCTCACGCGGTAAATTAAGCAAAAATTACGACTGTAAAAACCCGCCTGAAACGTTAGTCTTATGTGAAAGTAAGTGGATGGCAACAGCAACTGTTCTAGCAGTGATTCAGAAGTTTTAGCATGTATGCACTGTGGATCCGAGTTCCTACAATAAATATTCTGTTGCCAAATATACCGCTGCTAGTCTGTTTGACGTTAATTTACGGTTCTTAATAGCAGAGGGATTTAAGACAAATATGAGTCAGAGCTATTTCCTTAAATAACCGAGATACTGACCTTCAAACCACAGTTCTATTGATTCCTTTCTTACTGAGGGATAAAATATACAAACAGGCAAATCATTATTTTTGCTACGAATAACCAGATGATCTGGAAGTTTCTGATGAGACTAATTATTCCT